ACAAGGAAATGTATTGCACATTTTCAGTTCAACTTGTTCTATTTTTATATGGTGCAACTGTCAGAAAATGTAATTTCCCCCTGGGATTAAGACATTTTGATTGATTAAGGGACGCCATGAAGTTTAGTGTCTGCCTTAGGGTCAGGGTTAGCCCTGTTATCGTAAAAAACCAGGACAGAAATCTCATAATCCATAGTTTGTCTTATAATGCATACATTACTCTAATATAGTACTCCATGAGGTAAGTGGGAATAAAGGTTCAAAGACACATTTTCACTTCAAACCATCAGCGCCTGAAACATCCGTGTCAAAGATCAACTAACACAACAAACATCAAAAGCGATATATAGCATCATACCTCCAGACTTATTCGCTTTCTCTATTCAAAGCTGAATCCAGCTGTCATTGTGTCACGAAAAGGAATCGAGGGATGAAATGAACGAATAATATCACTTCAAAAACAACCACTCACTTGTGTGATGGCAGGATTGAGCCCGGAAGAAAGCCTGAATGTCAATTAACACGCCGCTGAAAAATTCACACAATGCACACATTGTGGTGAAAACACAAACTGTCAAAGTCAAACTGATTTGTCGTCTGAATGCCACGAGTCTTTGCCTTTGAAACGAGCAGGGCGGCACTCGTACAGTCATTACCGCTCTCAGCAAAACTGTACTCTGCCAACACAGAAAGAAGTGTGACATACAAGTCTAAACAAATGGAATGGCAGAGGGTTACCTCCATTACCTCCGATCATGTTCTGTAATCTAGTTTAATTGGAGGCACAGAGTGTGCTTCAAACTACACATGAATACAAATAAAATGATCATTAATATCTGATAATTATCACTTTCGATACTGCTTACATTAGATATTGTCAAAAGTTGGTGTTTCAGGTAGTTCAGTCTGGCTTGGGAACCGAAGAGTCACCGGTACAAGTCCCAGGACAGACCAAGGCCCATTCCCAAACCGCCCCCTACACCTCCGTTTGCGCGTTCACGCGGAGGGTCCGCCATATTGAGGGCTGTTCCAAAGCAACGAGTGTGGAGGGGGAGTGGGCTATCAAGCCCTCAAACAGCGAGTCTGCAGCGGTGCTGACTTGAGACCGGTCTCTACCTGACCGGAGTCACACTGTGTGTGTCCGTCAGGAAACAAGCTGTTTACAAGTAGTTCCAGCAAACATCCACTGATAAATTGCGATGTTAACAACCTCATGATGACCTCATATGTTTTTAACTCAGGATCATACCTGTGTTTAGTCTAGAAAAAGGTAAATGTGTGCATTTTATTATAAAGTTGTGCATATTTACAGACCGTTGCAAAAACTAAGAAGCTTATAAACATCAGGTTTCAAACTAAAAGAGCTTTGAAACACAATGAAAGATGTTTGGAGTTTTATTTGAGTTATTCATTTAAACTTTTTGTCGAAGAGATGCTGATTTGAAACCGTTGTTACATACAGTTACGGCATTTCCTGTTTCTGCCGGAGAGAGGGGAGGCCGTCCCAAAGCTTGCTGCTGTATTTACTCCCTCCATCTGACAGGAGGGAGCCTCATTGAGCTGCGAGTGTGGCTTCAGACGGAGTTCACTCCATCACGGAGGGGTAGGGTCGAGGGAGTGGTTTGGGATTGGGCCCAAATGTGAAGAATGGGCTTCATGGTACAAATACTTATAAGGGCTAAATGTAACTGTGTACGGTGCGGTCATCATGAACATGTGTGTGACGAATGAAGAGGAATTCATTAGAATCATCCCCTATCGAATCAGGTCTGGTTTTTGACTAGTGAGAAGAAGACTGTCTGTTTTTTTTAGTTACTTCAATAATGTTCACCTGCCACCTCTCAAAGAGTCATCCAGGAAACAACTGAGAGAGTTTCTTTGAGTTCAGAGTCAACCTGGCTCTGAGTGAGAAATACATTGACGGGAAAGTGTGTCTCTTTACGGCGCAGTGAGGCTTGGTGCTTGTTAACGACTCAGTGGGTGTGCTTTGTGTTCCTGGGTTACTTCACTGAGCAAGAGTCTGCTGCTGAGCAGGGGCTCTCACTTGTTCCTCTCTTCAGGGGGGCTTCGCTCAACGAGAGTCACATTGAACAAGAGAGTAGATTAATCGGAATGCTGACAGATTTATCCAAATGCAGGTCACGGTAACAAGGATCACAACAAGACTCCTACTAAGGATAAGTGTCAACAACGGTCTTAACAACAATTGCATTCAACAAGTCTGAAAAGGATTTGCAGTGAACGTTTCTCAACAAGAGTCACACTGAAAAAGAGTTTAAGTGAGAATGAGGCTGACGGGGAAGTCCACATGACTTAAACTAGAGTCCAAACAAGATTTGTGCTTAAGAGTCTCAACCAGGGTCTGAACAACGATCACACAGAACTACTTTGAAGGCGTTGCGATGAACGTTTCTCAATAAGAGTTGCGCTGAACAAGAGTATACTCAAGAGTTTTGCGGACAGATAAATGAGTCACATTTTGAAAGAGTTGTTCTGATCGAATGAGACTAAACAAAGCTTTTGCTCAATGAGTCCTAACAAGAGTCGCATTTGAAGTCTCAATGAGCGCCGCTTAACAGTCTAAACGCTGACAGATGAGTCTAAATAAGAGTCGCGCTAACTAAGACTTTTGCTTCACCTCAAATAAGACCTTAGCTGAACGATTCCCACGAGTCACAGTAAAGAGGAGTCTCAAACAACTTACATTTGAATCAGAATGTTCACATTTCTATCTTTGGTGGGTTTTTTGGTCATTATCATTATTTCTTTTTCAACTAATTCGAAGGACACTGCCACCAACTCACTACTTGAAGAAGAAAGGAACACTTTTGAATGTGTAGGAATATTAAAAGTAAAATCTGAATAGAGTTTCAACTAGTCTGTCAAAGTTCAAATACATATTGGTATTTTTCTGGTAAAAATTGGGGAAATTACCATATATGGTTGTTGAATTTCTCTGGTATAAATTGGGGAAATTACCATATATGGTTATTGAATTTTTCAGAAAAACATGTACTTGCCATCTGATGATTTTAAAATGTTTAAATCACATTGTTGATTTGAATTATTAGTCTCCAGTCTGCAGAATTGCACAGCACTTTGACATTAACAGTTACTCAGTCATTATGGTAAGTTGCCAAGGAAATATGAGCAATATATATTTAGACTTTAGAATTTGACATTTATTTTCTTCAGACAATAAATTGTGTCAAGTTTGAACAGTGGCATCCTGGCATTTACAAATAATTGATTTGCTGCTTGATAATCGTGATAAAAGCATACTTTATTTAAAGCTAATTCCACTAAGTACACAAAATAAGAGAACAATCTGGCAGAATAACATTCAGGTTCTTCCCTGATTGATTCCACTATTAAGGTTTTCATCAAAAGCAGGCAGAAATATAACAAAAAAAAAGATATTATATTGAGTTTATGTCAAAATAAACTAAAAATGCACACAGTATTTGATGTATTGCAAGCACAATATTTAGATTTGTCGGCAAAAAAAGTAGTGCTGACTACAAATCCCCAGAGCATCGCATGGTGGTTTGATGATTTACAGAGTACAATATGTGTACAACTGAAAATGAAATTGTCTTAAAGAAGTGAAACATTAATGTGCAGTAAATGTAGCCTCTATGAGTGAGTTTCAATTATAGGATGGATACCCCACCATGCTTTGGTACGCTGTGGAGCTCTGAGTTAATTATTTGGTTGACTAATGTGAAGGCCTTAAGCTAGAGCGGCAAGCAAAACCCAATTTTCATTTTTCTTTCATTGTTGAACAAGAAAAGAGAGCATGAGGCATGAGCGTGATCCTCTCAGCAGGTTTTGGGCAGTGGTGGCAGGTTTTATACCAGGATAGTTGCTAGTTTTATCCCCAGAACTAACAGGAACAGACTGAATCGACATTGGAAAGTATAGCTTGGTCAGATCAATGGTTTCAAATGCTTTAAATCTTCCGATATCAATATATAACACAGGTTACATAGCACATATACAGTGTATATAGTACCCAATCACACCAGAAATTCATTTGTGCTTCTTACTCTTGAAGAAAGTCAACAATATTCCCGTCTAAGCAGCCTGCTCAGTCAACAAATAATCAAACATGACTCATGGATGTACAAAGATAACTGTTTTCAGTATTGAAGGCTGTCCCTGTTTATTCTGTCAGAGTTGCTCGATGTCGCACAAAGAAAAAAACTGCTTTGTTTAGCCAGATTAGTAACTTCTATTGAGCGGTAGAACAAGGGCTCCAGTGTTTCTTAACCTTGCATCCGTATAAAGGGATCAATAGACAGTAAATGACTGTGCTGTATAAAGAGAACTGGATACAGGTTTTGAGGCAGGGCAGGCACTGTTCATTTCTGCCGAAGTTACTTAGTATGACTCAATGTAAGCCAACAGCAAAAAGCATTTTTAGGCCCAATTGGGTGACTGACACAGAAGTTGTAGAACAACCATTTGGCCACTATAAAAATGTGTCTTGACAGGAAGTTGATTATGCCGAAGAAAACGTAATGATTTAAATATAGGGCTATTTAAAATCATCAGTCTGGGAGGTTGATGCACCTTAAAAAAATGGTCTGTTGTTTTACAGACGACAAAGGTTGGTTTACAACTGAACCAATACTATATGTACAATTGGTTTCAAAGCCTGTCATTAACCATGCATCCAGTTCTCTTTATACATCCATGAAGTGAATGAGTTGCAATGTGGGTACCCAAAGACCAGTCGCGAACCGTGTCTATCACAACTAGACCTTCTGTAGACACACACACCCCCCTCCACCAACCACCCCCCCCCCCCGGCGTTATAGTGTCCGTCTTGTCACTGAATTGTCGTCTTTCTACCCAGAGACCCAGAACAAGATCTGATTTGTTGCTTTAACACAAAACCACTGAAATGCGTAGTGCATGGTCCGAGAAGGACAAACAAATCAACGTAACACTGTACTATTACAGATCAACAACACAGATACCATTCTCATTTATTCATTTTATATACATTTGATTACATTTTATTTATATAATTAAATCGATTTTTTTGTTTTGTTTTATCTGAGTGTTCCAGGGTATTCTCTGAATACCTTGAAGGCCCTGACGGTTCGCCACTGCCAAAGACCAATCATTGTACCCCATTGTTTGCCTGGGGAACTTAATGAGATAATAGAAACTTTAAAATGAATATTAGCCAACGATAAAGATCGGTTTTTTGGGCACTTCCATAATATTTGAAACAAAGTCAGATATGTTGGAGTAAATCCATTTAACATACGGTTTCCCCTGAAATGAATTCATTTGGGTCTTTTGTTGTTATACAGTAAATAGTGACGTGACTGAGCACTCAAATGTTATTTTACTTTCACAATTTGCTTGTAACTCTTAATTCAGATTTTTGTAATATTACAAGGCAATTTCATTGTAAGTCGATGAAAAAAAAAAAGTATGTTGAAAAGTCTGGGACGTGTTCACTACCTGTTTCCACTTAGCAGCACCTCCGTTTTCTCCCATGTGTCAATGACAACAGGTAGGTGAGTGTGAAACAGGCTGGGGCTCATCGAGTGGATGAATTGACCTTTTGTAAATGTAAGTCGTACCGTAAGAAAAAAAAAAAGCTAATTTCCCTTTCTGTCCATAAAATAATCAACAAGGACCCTCAAAGTTTACTTGATCTTCTTCAATTACCAAACATAATTAAAGGTCTTGCATCGCTGAACGAAGAGATGCCTGGAGAGAAAAATAAGGCTTTTATACACATGGTGAAGATTCCAAAATGCAGTTTCTTAAAAAGGCAAAAGAAAGCAGATAATGATCTGATGGGAATCCGTATTATCATGAAAGTACCAGTGTAGCAGAATTTCTTATTCTATTTATCTTACTTATTTATTGGCATTTCACGAGCAGCTAATGTTGATCTCAAATGTGATTGATGCCATCAAGAAACGTAATCATCCCCGGCCTGAGTCACTTGATGATAACTGAGATTGTTTTTCTCCCTTGTGTGGCCACTGACTCATCCCTGGATGATGAATGCATATCAAACCACATGAAGAAAAACGTGGTGAATCCATCAGCATGGCAAAAAGCTTTCACATTGGCACGTTGGCAGACTGTCTCAAAAGAAAATGCCAAGAGCGTGATGGTGGACGGTCACAAAGAAAACTAACTTTTTACATCTCTGCATGAAGGGTAGAGGTATTTTTGTGTCTCCAATTATTTTTCCTGAGACGTGTTTTGTTAAAAACCCTTATATTCTAACTGTGTAACAAAGAAACCAAGCAGAAAACCCCTCTAAACTGCTTTTGTCGTCCTTTTTTTCCAATTTGAATTCAATTACACAAAACCTCACTTTCTGCCACATGTTTTTTCGTCATCTCTTGATGGAAAAAGTGAAAGGACACACCAGGTGAGAGGAGCCGTAGGCGGGCGATGTCAGAACAGCACGGTGTCTGGTTCGGATTCAGCGGAGCGACTGCTTTGATGCCCCAGGAGTGCCTTAGTGGAGCACTGCATTCTGGGAAGGCTACAGAACGTTGCAGGCTTCAGTATCTTCAACGGAGGGAGAAGGTCTGCGGGTAAAGAGAAATTATCTTTGAGTTCTCCTGATGCGATTTTAATAAATATCTGCATCTCCCACAGATTAATACTCTCAGAGGTTAAGGGTTGAATATTCAATACTTGCTTCTGAAATGTTGGTTAGCTTGCAAAGTTAATTTAAATGAGTGAAAACATGTCCGACCTTTGTGGTAATGTATTATTTAAGCCCAGTTACAAATGTCACCTGGATCAGATAAAACATTGCTAAGTGTTTCAGTAATGGCCTGATAAATGTTCTCTCTACTAAGCATGCCACACTACGACTAAAAGCCACATAATTAAAGTCTACTGGTCTTGTATCCAAAAATTCAACAAAATCATGGCATTTCGATGGTTAATGGTTGAAGGGATACTTTCTACATACTTTTTTTTCTTGTTAATCAGACACTTTTATGCCTCACAGTACTTTGCCATGGCGTATTTTTAAACTGCCACACCTGTAGCGGCCGTATTTCCCCCCAAATAAACTATTTCATTGGATATCTTTCTATTTTGAGATGAGGGACTTGTGCTATGGTATTTATGATGTATTTGTTTAGGCTATCTGGAAAGCAAAGTGCCTTTCTAGCACATTTCATTTCCTAAATCTTCTTCATCCACTAAGAAACATGTCATCCTCTAAGATTAAACGCTGAGGATTTGCCACTAAACTGAAGACACCGTTTAGATGAATAGAGATTAAATCCATATCCATCACCCAGCATATCATTTAGTTTCACTTCCAGCATTGATTTATGAAGTAGACATATGTAGGTATTTCTCACCAGTGTTCATACAAAAACATAACCTGCATATTATCGACGAGAAAATCAAAATTCCTCACCCTCGTGATCTCCAGGCTGAGAGCAGAAATCAGAAGCATCCCACTCATAATTCTCATCAACTGAGGCTTTTCTCCTGGAGAGGTCACAAAACAACACTTAGTATATAAACACAGCTGGGGTGGATGAACACTTTAAAATACAGCATATGAATGATAAAAATCTCTCAATAAAACTATAAAACAGTGTTTGCATATAATTTAGTCTGTTCGTTAATTAATAACGTTTTATATTGTTGTGAAATTCCTTTAATCTTTATTTCTAACATAAATTGACACTTGTTCAACCATAACTTGTATAATTACATTTGACACCAACTACAGAACAATTCTAACAAAAACGATTAAGTCCGTTTCTTTGTAAATCTGTTGAAAATGACCTTGGGTTTGTGAATTGAAACATGAAAATAACAAAGCGCTGTCATTGTTTCCTTTAAAAGAGACTCAAATTGAAAGCTTCATAATAACCACAAGGGACAAATGCAGCGCTACAAGCATTAACCCCCGCATTTTCTTCTACAAAACATTCTCATTGTTCTGGATACCTTTGGTTCAGCTCCAGTATGTGACTGTCCTCTGCGTGCACCTGGCCCTCCTGTATAGTCTCAGGTGAGCTGGGGAGGGTTGGTGAAAGCTGACAGAGGGAAAGACGTCTGTTAGCCGGCTCCATGCTGCCTCGTCCGCTGCTTGCGTAACTGCTGTAGCTTCCTCCTGAGTCTGGCCCACCATCATAGCCCCCAGCCTCCACTTCCAGTGCCTCTTGATAATTATCAACAGGCGGTAAGCATCTGGACGCCTCCTTCATCGCCTCCAAGGAACCCTCTGTGTCCTTAATGGCCTCCTGGTAGTCCATAGGCCATTTGGCAGGAAATATGGACGCCTCTCTTCTTGGCTCGTAGTGGTGAGGCACGTCTGCTCTGCTCCTTGGAGATAAAGCGTCCTCAGCAGGAGGTGACTGGCGGGCAGCTTGGGTAGCAGAAGGAGAATTCGCAGGAGATATGGAGATATTCCTGATCATAGAGCTTTGGGGTTTCGAGAACAGAGTGTCTGGCCGACAGGAAGACACATCAGAACAGTTCTCTTGGCTGAGAGAGTCTACCCACGCATCGGGAGTCAGGAACCTGCTCTCTTTACGTCTCCGTGAGTCAAGGCTCTGACTTCGCCTCTTAGAGTCCAAGAGTTTGGAGCGTTGGGCCGCATCTCTCCAGGGTTCTGGAGTTTGCGGAGAAGGCCTGATTGTACCATCCACCAAAGAAGGACTGCGGCAGGTAAAGCCCCTACTCGCATCTTCGTGCCGAATTCTATGAGTCAGGGAGTGCCCTCTCTGCACGTGAGATGCAATTCTTTCGTGCAGCATGGGCTTTGCAGGCCGCGTCACACACAGTTCCAACTCTGGCTCATCCACACTCATCTCCACACACACTTCTTCACGATCGGGCTCGGGGAATTCTACCTCTGCTTCTGAAGGGTCTGGCACCCCGTCGAGAACCAAATGACATTTTTCTGTATATTTGCTGCAATGGAAAGATGGTGTTGAAAAGCTTCCATGGCTGAGATTGTTCCGTCTCCCTGCCTCAGAGCATGAATCATTCGTTTGCATTTCTAAGACTGTGGATTGTGGTGAATATTCACAGCCCTCGGGTGCTGCCTCAACACTTTCATGTCTCTTGTGCTTTGAGGAGAGAAGTGGGAGAGTTAATCTGCCTTTGGAAAGAGTGCCTGCCTCCTCAGACCAAAGGGGGGCCTGTTTGGTGAAGGGTGGAGCAGCGCGACGGTTTCCGGATTGAAAACAAGAGGGATTCCCGGGGGAAGACGTTCTGAAACAAGTCTGGGTCAGATGAGGAGGAGGAGAGACAAGTTGACGGGGGTCCCAATGCACAGAGGATGAAGAGAAAGGGCTCTGTGGCAGAGAAAACCTGTCTTTGCCGCCCTGGGGGTATCTGTGGGGCAAGGTGCTGCTCTTATATTCCCACAGAAGTTCATTACCATCCGCCTCTATCCCTTCCACATCCGAATACTCCCTCTTCATCTCTCTCATGGAGCCTCTTTCCAGCGTGTACCTCTGGAGCTCCATCTCCAGCCCCTCTCTCTCCTGAGCCAGCTTCAAGCAGCGACTCAAGTTCCCTCTCTCGCGCTCGTGCTCCATTTGGAGAACCAGAGAACTGGCGGTGGTCGTTGGCTGACCGAAGCCTTTTCGGATATGCGGGAGAACTGGAAACGTGGGAGTTATTCGTCTTTCTTGATGAGAAATGGTGGCCAAACTACTGCTTGAGCACAGGCTGCTTAAGTCAGGATCGGGGGTATAACGGTGATGATTGGGAAGGCTCTTGGACATTTCGTACATTTGGTTTGCAGGATTAGCTTGTGCAAAAGGCGGGAGGTCAACAGAGAGCACAAACGCTGGCCGCTTCCTATCTTCCCTCTCCGAGTGCAGCGACAAAGACCGTCGGACTTTAGCTTGGTCGTAACTTCTTCTTTTCTGGTCGTGATTGTTCGCTACGTCATTGTCGTACGATAGGAGTGCGAAACGGCCATCTGGACCGCGAGAGATCATCTCGATTGGCGGAGAAACGGGAAAAGAATGTGTCCGAGTCAGGCGGCCTCGGGTGTAGTTGGACTGGAATTGCTTCTGCTGATGAGGATTCTCAGAGCTAAAGGAGGAACTGTCAGTCTGCGAGAAGGACGAGGAGGTGGTGGGATACAGGATGTTGGCCGGGAGTAGACTTTTCTTCAACACACTGTCTGGACTGCCAGTGCCTGAAGTCTTTCTGTGGGAGAGAGAAAGAGGTGGAGGGAGGGGTGAAAGAAATGTTTTTTTTGGGAAAAAACGGAGGAGTAAGAGGGAGAGAAATAGCGAGCGAGAAAAATAAGATTGAGTGAAAGAGGGGGCGGGAGAGATGTAGACAGAGCGAGACCAAAACAGCAGCAGCAGCAGCAATAGATGACAATGAAGAAGAAAAATATCTGAAAAAGAAAATCACTTAAAGTGGTGGCATTTTCAACATTTTGTTTCATGGGGAAGCAGAGGGAAAGGTCAATGGGAGACGTTATAATGAAATGATAAAGGAGTACTTACATTGATGGGGGGCATTTATAAATGGCAGAAGGGGGCTCTGAAAGGGAGGGAGAGGGATGAGATGACTCATTAAGATGCATCCACACTGACCATGAAGTAAAAACACAATCATCCCTTATAAGAGCACATTAAAAAGGACCGGAGGCCCAGAGGCTTGACCAAAAAGTTAATTACACTCACATTTATCAGCCTCTAATGAGAAATTACCCTAATAAGCAAGTAATGTAAATGACATCGATAACTTTTTTAACTGGATGGACGAGCCGGGACAGGAGGAGCGCCAAAATCCATGCACTGGGGTTTGATTTATATAATGGATTGAAAGTGCCTTCAATATTTTATTGAATAAATGATGATATTCATGATGCAGTTCATCAAAGTGAGTGTCTGCTGAGTCTCTGGGGCAGGGGGGGGGGGGGGGGCGGCGTTTTACCATCCTTCTTCTTTCTGCGCCGGGCGTCCCTCTTGTGGCTGATGAAGCAGGCGGACCCCAGCAGCAAGACGAGTGCCAAACACATGAAGCCCACCCCCCCCAGCACGCCGGCCAGAAGAGGCTCCGGGACGTACTCTAGGAGCTGGGATGTGGCGGGGTAGATCTCCATCCCTGTGGACATTTCATCAGGGATAGTGTTAGAGAAAAAGTCAAAGCAAGCCAAGTGTTACTGTAGTGTCAGCAAATAATATGAACGAAATACAAACTCATTCAATTAAAAAGCTGTTGATGGCTGTAGTAGTAGTGGATAATAAGACAATACAAATGAGTAAGATGCCAAGATATAATTATTCCCTTTCATAAAATATATTATCTCTTATTTAATAACATTCCATACAATGTTAATGAAAGCAATAAAGATAAGGCAAGGCAAGTTTATTTATATATATATTTATATAAGTTAAAAGTGCAGATATATTTATTGCCATTATAAAATATATATATTTAAAAATACATTTATTTAATTTATAATTTGTAATGTTATTAAATTAAATGTATTAAAGAATACATATTTCAGTATACATGTTTAGGCATCTTAGGTTTTGCTCAAATAAAAAAGTTAATTATTTAACATTGTTAACATAACAAAACTTTACATTGATCCAAATATCATTCATTGATAATCTAGACCAGGGGTATTCAACTAAAATTCAACGAGGTCCAGTTAGAGAAAATGTCCCCATGCAAAGGTCCGGAACATCAAAATGTCTAACTTGCTTTATGAATTAGTGTGATATATATTGAAGTAGCCTGCAGCTTAACGTCTGCATGTAATCAACAACTGACTGCCAATCAAATAACGAAAGTACAATTCATAAACAACAATATTTATTGTCAATTAGCATTGAACTATACAGATATACAGTAAATACTGTGGATATGTGTAATGTTCCTCTCGGGCTGCATTTAAAAATAAAATAGAGAAAATAAATAAAATAACTTTTGAAAATATGTGCATCTTAAAAGTGCTTCATTTTAGATAAATAAAATAAAGTTTCCCTTTTTCTTTGTTAACCGTTTCACATCATGACTTAACAGTTTCAGACGATTATAGAACAATATCAGTGTTTACATCATAACAATTGAACAGTTTTAAAGTTTCTCTTTCTTTCCCTCTTATATTGCAGTCCCTCACTCGCTTTTTTTTTAATTCAGTGCGAGAATTGAGCTTGAGCTTGTCCTGCCAGGAGTTTAAATCTGGGCTGAAATGGTGTATACATACATACATACACATGCAGGTGCTCATTGGTTTCAGTGATGCAAACACAGGTAGGTGAAAAAAGAGAGAACTATTCGAAGCAGAAAAAAAACAGCGTAATATACCGTCTGACAAAGGCCTGTGCCATAATGCTTCAATTAACTGCTATTCTTTATAATATACTCAGATCAATAGGAGACAGAGATGTTAAGTTAAAAATCAAGGGTTTTTATTATTATTTACAGCAGGGGTGGGGAACCTTTTTCCTTTCAATTTTTACAACATCCTCCGAGGGTCGTACAAATGATTGAACTCAACCTCTGCTTAAAAAAACTAAAATCACAGCCCATTCATTTGGCCTTTCCTTCATTCTGTGCAAAGAAAAAGCAACCTCTTAATCCAGATATCTCACCATGACTCGCGCATGCATGCATGTGCACTGTGTGTGGCGTGACCACCAAAACAGAAAGATATGGACACAAGATGTGTGCAAATGTATTTAGTATCCTATCCATGTGAACATGATTTAAGTGTGTGGGGGGGGGGGTCCTAACCTCCTCTAGGGGGGTCCGGGGGCATGTTTCCTCGGGAAGATTTTTTTTTAAATATTGAAGTTAAAAGCATCAATCTGGTGCACTTTGAGAGCAACATGAAGAGATCTATGGATACATCTCTCAACACCCATATGAAACAGAACTGTAAGCAGATTTGTCTTTTTGGATATTTTACAAATCACTCCTTTTAAACTCGTGTTGTTTTTAACAACTTTTTTGTTACTGTCATATAGTATTTTATACCCGTTTTTCATTTAGTATCATTAATAACTATAATGATCATATCAAGGTGTGCCTTAACCTCACTGAGCTGAGGTTATTTGAGCCTCTCTTCCAACTGGTTGTAGAAAAGCTCTTTAAATTCGTTAGCATAGCTAGCTAACCAGATGCTAATAACAACAGATCGCCACTGTGCTTAAAACTAAAGACACAGCCACGCAAACACTGCGGCATGTGTACGGCTCCTTATGGGTACTGCAATATTTGAAGGGCTGGAGCGGCGTTCCGGTGCTCTCTGTCAGCACTCCTTTCAGACGAGACACGTGAAGACACGTTACGCTCGTGTTGTGAGTAACCTGTCCTTGGTCAGGAAAAACAGGTACTCGCTTGTTTAATTATTTTTGCGGTCTAGATTTCTTCTTTTTTGAAGTGAGAAGTTGTCCGTCAGTCGGACTGACTCCCCACCCCCAAAACGAAAACTCTGCGGTTCTCCACGAATTACACAAGTCACCCAAATCAGCGTTAAAAAAGCGGGAGGTGTCGAAAAATCCCCTATTAATGTATTGATTATAGCTCCGGGTCCGTATAGGTCGGCGTCTGGGTCCGGATCCGGACCGCGGTCCGCCTGTTGCCGACCCCTGATCTAGACATTTAAATTATTTTTAAGAATACAAATATATTTGTATAGTCTTTTTTTTCAAATCCTCAACATCAAAAAGAAAGACAAAGAAATTAGACATTGCATTTAGTTTGGCATTTCTAGTTTTAAATTAATCTAATCGCCAATCTACATACATGATAACCATTATCAGCCGATCCTAAATCGAGTGAGAGTTATGTTAAACAGTAATCAAACCATCTCTCTGATTGTTGTTAAACTCCTCCTGCAGAACCAGTGGGAATTATAAATGCCTCAGTTTGATATCTCAGTAGCATATCTAATGAAACATTCATTTCACATTCATTTCACATTCACATAAGAAACAGAAAAGACCAGCACATTCCCTCCCTAACTCTATTTAGAAGTTATTAGTGGAGTTATTTCTATCATTCAGGCCTCTAATGGTCAGCATTCCCCTGGAGGCTTGCTCTAATTTCGGTCCAACGCTGGTAACAAAGGGGGGAAAATAAAGAAAAAGAGAGACAAGAATTGGAAAAGTAGACTGAGAGAGGAAGATGGGATTGAAACTGAGGGGTGGGATGAGAATGCGAAGGGGGCAAGGTTGCTTTCGAACACCTACCCATGGTGGAGACATTGACTGATGGACTGGGCTCGCTCAGCAACTCCCCGCGACGAGATAGCAGCCGCAGCTCGTACACACAGTCCTGAGAGATCCACACACACACACAAACACACACACACAGTGGGGAGGACAGAGGATGAAACCACACTTTGTCAACACGGGGACTGTGCCTGCAATGCTAATGAAGTTCATTTGAATTTGTGTAGGCCTATATACGAGAGAAAAAAAGAAGGCAGGGAGAAGAAACGGCAGCAGAGGCATATTGAAAGATGACAGAGAAGTGATGGCTGCCATGTAGTCTGCATAATTGAGAGTCTACAAACATAAAAAAGGCATGGATGTACTGTACAGCCTATAAAAACAAATCTCCAAGGCATTCAACAAGTGGCGTGGACTGATTAGTCTCAGGGGGAACGGTGCGACCGGCTTGTTACCTTGAGCAAACCCGGAACGACTATCTCGCTAACGTTGCCGTCGATGTCCTCGTCCAAGTAGAACCACTCGCCTTGTTCGATGCGTGATTGGAGGAGGAATCCTGTGATCGGAGGTTGAGGAAGGGACCATCTCAGCACGACACCTGCTGAGCTCTGATTAGCTGTGAGCGACGCGGGGGGCTTCAGTTTACTTCTCCTCAGCGGAGGATCTGATGCAGGAGAAGAAAAAAACCTTCAGTTAATCAGCCAGATATATATACACTCGGGCGGAAAAATGTAATTACTGTGGAGGAAATTGCTACTGCCACAGATGTTCCACCTTGGGAGTATGAGAGGAGTAGGGTTGGGGCTGATGTTAGTTATTTAGAGTCTGTTAGGGCCACAATAACCTCAACATGAATATTTGATAGCAGCCTTTGGTTGAGTATGGCACAGACATGCAAAAAGCCATGTCTCAAACATAGGAACAAAACACTGGTATTTAGCCGCTTTCTGGCTGTTGTAATTGTGGGTCTCAATCATTTAATTTAGTCTCTTCTGTAGTTTCTTTATGTCTCTTTAAAGTGGTGTTGTGTCTCTTGGAAGTCATTTTGTGTCTTTTCGAAGTCGTCTTTTGTCTCTATTGTGATTGTTGTTGTCTTTGTAGTTGTTTTGTGTATTTTTCTACTTGATTTGTGTCTCTTTTAAGTGGTTTGTGTCTCTTTGAAGCGGTTTTGTGTCTCTTTGAAGTGGTTTTGTGTCTCTTTGAAGTGGTTTTGTGTCTCTTTGAAGTGGTTTTGTGTCTCTTTGAAGTGGTTTTGTGTCTCTTTGATTATTGATGATTGGTTATTTTTTCTCTCTTTTCATATTTTTCATTGGTTTTTGTAGCCGTTTTGCATCTCTGTAGTTTTGGTGTGGGCAGTTCTTAGTGGTCTTTACATATATATCATTACTACTATTATTATTATAAATACACACTATTATTATTATTTATTACATTACAGATTTTATTGTTATACTCCTGGAAATAATTACTGCACTTTATTCTTTAATCCTAAGTATGTATGCTGCGTGTATTTTGTTGTCTTATGTTGTGATGTTTTGTTTTTGTTTTGATGGCACCCTTGAAAGGGAGAAGCATTTATCTCATTGTACATGTATAATGACATTAAACTATTCTATTCTATTTTACGTTTCTTAGGTGGTCATTTTGAGTCTCTTATCTGTCAGAATGCATCTCTGAATAATATTTCATTGAAAGTCAGAGGGAGGCCTAACACTTTTGTCTTCAAAGTTTTTTCCCTGACCTCCCAGGATATTATGTCTCGGTCGGGAAGCACACTTTGTTCCCAGCGGCAAAATTCTTCAAACTTTGGCATCCACTGCCCTGGCAGACTCTGAACAAACATTTCAAACAGTGCGAACATTTGATCACCCCTGGAAGTCTGTCGACATCTGTAAGATCAGAAATAAACCTTTGAAGATACAATCCACTTCAGGATGACAAATAAAACAGCTACACCAGACATATGAGAGGTTGTATTTGGTCACAGCCCTGGCTTAGAGGCAGTTGCAAACATGGCGTGACAGTGTTAATATGGCGGGAATAATGTTGTACCGTGTTCACCATCTTAATTGTTAAGTTAAGCATGTTAGCATGTCTTTACCCCCAGACCTATATGTTCCCAGGGTAAGTTACTATTTCCCCTAAGCTCATGGCCTTTTTGAAAATAACTTATATTCTCAGCCATGTTTTCTCCCTAGGCAACATTTTTAAATGTACGTTTCAATGGATCACTATTTTGATTTCCCACACCCTCAGCTTTGAGTCTAGTAATGTTATACCCACATTTGTTGCCAAGACCATTTGCTTGACTTTAAGCCTTGATATGTCCACACTTGAGTCAATGCAGTTTGACACTATCCATTTGAATCAACCATCTCTATTCGTCCATTTGTAATTTAAAATGGGAAGACAAACCTAACACATCTCTTACACTAAGGAACATAGGAATGACCCCAGTGCTAGCATATGCTAATGGTCAGGAAACGGGAAATGGTCAGGAAAGCGGTAAAAGGGACCGCTGAGAGAATTTTGGGAAATTCTTTAGTTTTGAAGATGTTTGGTCTTCAAATATTTGAAATGGCAATGATGATGTTGCTGTAAATCATCAACTGTACATTCGTCCTTAGAGGGATAGGAGTGTCTATACCAAAATGTCATGGCAATCCATTCAATAGCTGTTGGGAGATTTCAGTTTGGACCAACAATGCAACATCCCAAAACATATGTTTAGGTTTGTGTTCGTAATGCTATTTGACCAAATTATGTTAAGATGTCAAGATAACTTAAATGAACCAAAAAGTTGTAATTGCAGAGTGGTAATAAGGATCTTTATCTGGGTACAGACGCCAGGTTTTATCTTAAAATACAGCACAGGATATTAACCAAGCTTCCTGTTGGCCTTTGGGCAAGTTACTCAGGTATTCAACTTTAATTAGCTACAGTTGATATAATCTGCTGGCAGCGTTTGGCTTTACAACCGGCAAAACTGATGGTCAGCACTGGGTAAAAATGAACAGCCTGAATATTCTGTGGGTTGTTACTAATAACAAGGATAAATATAAGACCTGATAAGAGATGTGTAAGCTCAGTGAGCATTTTGCAAATCTGCAACTGCGACCGGCATATAATCCTCGGATTTAGAGGAAACTGCAGAATGATACTGACCCAAGGTCCGCATGGTGGTTATCTCGCTGAACGGTCCTGTTCCCATCTTATTCTGGGAAAGGAGGCTGAACTGGTATTCTGTGGCAGGAGACAGGCCCGTCACCTGCAGACTGCTGCCAGAAGACGGGGGCACAGGCACAGAGAACCAGACCTTCTTCCCATCATTAACACTCCTCTCTGAAGTCTTTTTCACCCTGCAAAAAGAGAGAAAAAGTGAGAACAAAAGAGCGGCGGGGAATTCTGGCAGTCTGGTTTTATGAAACATGACAGAAAGTAGGTTTCATTAATCATTCATACTCATCATCAGCTTCAGATTTCAGGGCGAAGACAGCACTGATGTGTCCCTGCTGTTCCACATAGAGCTGGGAACTCAAATTATGGGCAGTTTTATGTTCCTGAGGATTCGGATGTCTCGTTTATACGGAGCAAATTACTTGACCCAGAGGCTAAAATAAAATCTATTCACCTATTTAAACCGGAGGAACTTTAGAAAATTATTAATATCAGTCTGAAAGCTACAACTTTTGAAGATGAAGGCTTTTATAGAAGTTCCGTTCTTTTATGAGAAAATAGAAAAGGCTAGAGTGAAACTCAGGTTAACCTGTGGATGATTGACTGGTCATTATTTCTTAGGCAATTTATGTTACTGCAGGTTATAGTCATAAAGCAATGAACGAGGACAAGGATTTGTTTACACGTGAAATGTGTTGGTGTTTTTTCTCTTCTGCATTAAAAGGTGGGGTAGGTAATTCACTTCAGAAACACTTTTTGTTATATTCCGTGGAATGCTCTTAACATCCCGATAGCAATGAATATATTAAATGCTTTGACAATAAATACATACAAAAATGTCATCTGTGGAAGCCGTCGTACTGTAAAAAGCTAGACCAATTATTTTCACCGGCCCGGCTAAAGTAACTGGATGGCCTACCTGCCTGTCAGCCTTCCATCTGTGCACAAACTTATCTCGTGCCCTCATTGGTCATGTGTGCGTTATTTTTGGCTGCGTACTTTCAAATTCTAGCGCACTCGAGCTGGTGCCTCCATTCTGTACCTACCCTACCTTTAATCGACATAAGTACATGGGTTATATATTTTCAAAAAACCTCTGCTACCATTTTTAGCCTCAATGAGAAAAACTGCCATTGAAATGTTAAAGGGAAAATGCTCACAATATATCTTCTTCGCGTTATTACAGTACAGAAAAAGCGCAAGTGTTGTTTTTCTCCATAAAAGGGATTTTTTCTTTGCACTTTGACTTTTCTTTCATATATGGTATTAACATGTCAGGCTGGCAGAGCGAGAGGAGACTTGAGAGGGCTGTTTATACTGATTGGCTGAAATTATATTTTAAGAAACCTGTGACATCACACTGTACCATTACTCTGGTTTCAGACAGAGGGTGAAAAGAGGTGAATGAAGACCTTTTTGAACATTAAAGTATGTAAACATGTCACAGTAGAGGAACAATATGCATATATCAACCTAAAAATGATCATAATAGTACCCTTTTAAGGAAGACATTATAACTGGACTAAGTACATTTCTTCGGTGCATTGGCTGCAGTTTTATATTTATTTCCTGTACATACCATGACCTTGACTCACTTTTCATACAACACTGTCATATCAAAACTTAACCTTAAAGCAAACATCCTCAATTATTTCAAAGCTAATAGAATAAGCACAGATTCACATATGTCTTCCGCTTTCTTTTTTTCCCTCAGTCACCTCCTATTGTAGCTAGCATGGCCAGTGCATTATGCCCTGCAGCAGCATTTTTTATTGTAGCTGCCAAGAGGTGATAACGGATAAATGAATTCCTCATCCTCGATATCAATAGAGTAATACCGGTGCAACCGATGGCTGCCATGGTTACAGCGAGAGAAGAAAGTGGGAGGCTTTACACCCACCAAACTGAAAATGTCTGTGCTGATCCTCCATCAAAGCCTGCCTCCCAGGAAACGTTGGCCTGCCTCACCCCTGGAGAGACGGACAGAGAGGCAGCCGCATGGGGACTGGTGCCTGTAATGGAGGGAACAGTTGAACGTGCCAGAACTTGAAAGCGCTTAAGTTTAGAGCAGGGGTGTCCAAACTACGGCCCGAGGGCCAAAAGCGGCCTGCGGGACAATATGAATCGGCCCTCAGCAAATTAAAAAAGTATAATGGAATACGGCCCACAAATGAAAATTGAGCTTTTCTTGTATTGTACTTATTAAATATATCTGTAAACATATATTACAGAGAGAGTAGTGTTCATGTGTTAACTTAATAGTAAGCCCAATTACATTTGAAAATATGTTCTAACAAATCTAAATCGATAAGAAAAAAGCCCAATAACTTATATACATAACAAACTTGAAATATACCCTTCATATATATGTAAGGGATGTGCTGCTAACAAATTAAATGAAACTCTCTGGAGAGCTGGGATGTAGGCTGTTTATTGTTCTTAAATCAGATTCAAGTATCAAGCATAATTTACCTACTTTTGATTGATTTTGCTAACTTATAACTGAACTTATGAGGCAATATACTTCACCTCTAGTGAGCGGCCCGGCCCTTCAAATATGTTTCTGTATGTGGTCCTCGGTGAAAAAAGTGTGGACACCCCTGGTTTAGAGGCCGTCTCTAGATTGCCATCAATAGAGGTTCAAACAGAAATCAATTTGAAAAAATAACAAAAATGTCCAGTGACCAGTGACCACTAACCGAGGACAAAGACTTGTGTGACTGCTTTCACCGAGGCTACGCGGTTTGTGGCGCTGCACTCCCATGCCCCCTGGTGGTCTTTAGTGACGGGCTGCAGCAGCAGAGAACCGTTGCGTTCAATGGCGTAAGATGTGCGACGAACCAAGTCCATCTACAAGAACAGAAAGAATATTTACACATGTAAGAAACTCTCTATGTCTCACTAAATACAGTATATCAAATCAAGCCTATCTCCAAATAAATATGTTTAAGATTAACTGAGTTGTCCATTATGTTTCAAGGGAGACTTATTTCCTCAGAGGAAACGGCTGTAGTTTTAAATACGTCAATAATTAAATAATGATTAAATAAACTCCTTGGTTAAGTTTAGTAAAAGATTATGGTTTGGCTTAAGTAGTTTGTTTTCTAAGTTAAGTCAATAAGCAAGTCAATGTTGATTTTTTGTTTCACGCGCGACACGAAACGCAGTCAATGCTCGTGCAAGTGTTCATGGGGATGCTAATAAAGAATAAGAATATGTCTTAAGCATGAAAGTCACACACAATAAAAAAAAATGCAACTGAAAAAAATACAATTCATCAAACAGATAGAAGGTTGTTAAAATTCGACATGGTATAGAATAGATGATGCTTTATCATTATCAAGGTAAATCGAACTTGTTTAATAATGTTGATTCTTCGTCATAATGTCCAACTCTAATATATACTGCTATCAGAAAGTATTAACATCTTAAGTAATAAGCGTTTCTCCTTTTTTGTGTTTTTAATAAAACAATAAGTACCTTATCACTAATTTCATTAAGTAAATTACACAGCATGAACAGCCACTTTGTTAAACTGTTAATTGATTCTGATCCCATTGTCTGTGAGTCATGATTTAAAAGCCTTTATTTCCTGCAGGAAAAGGGGGAGGGGTTAATTTGCTGATTTCCAGAGCTCACTATGTCTGTATTGAGGAAAAGCACTGATTCATTGCCTTGTGAGGCTGCACCAACACAGTGGACAGATGATATTGCAACCACTAGATGGCAGCATTGACAGAATGCTTAGCGTTGGCGTCCGAAGCGTTACAGTGGAATGACAAATTGGCGCAAAATGGCAGTACAACTGAATATGTAGGCAGGGTATAATAATAACAAGTGGGATTTAATCAAATCCTAGGGCAGCAGAGGACGGTTGGCGTCCATCCACTCCTCCCTCTAAACATCCTACGCCAAACACGCTCTTTTAAAAATTCAACACAGTTTTTGCCAATTGACAAACGCTTCCTACATTATATATTGTGTGAGCTACGACGAGCCACTAGCTAACAGTGAAGTTAAGTTTAACATGATTCCTAACTGAGCTCATTGCCCAAACTAACATGTAGAAGAGTCATTCACAGAAATATATTAACATTTTACAAAAAGGAAAGAGACAAGGATTTAGAAAAATACTTTAGACGAATATGAAAATGTTGAACATATATTTGGTATAAACCAAATCAGAACTGAAACAGAAAATAATTTAACCGCTCATAAAGATCATAAGATAAGATAAGAACTTTATTGATCCCAATTTGGGAATTGTTTGTGTTGCAGCAGCATAAAAAGACAATAAATAAACAAGAAAGTAGAAAATATACATGTTGAATTTACAAATGAACAATAACAAGATATAAAGCAAAGTATTATATTTACATAAGTATGTGACATACATCAGGAACATGTTTTATTAAGTGCACAATTCTGTAATCCTTCAGCCTTTAAACACTGCATAGGATGTCCTTGTCAACATGTGCAGGGCCATAAATAAAGCAGGACTGCTTAATTATTGAATAAACTGCACAGGGTAATTTACCTTGCTCCAGGTCACTTTAATTGTGGGGTCCTGGTTTCCTTGACAGGAGATGAGCAGAGTCCGGCCAACCTCCTGTCTGTACTCCTTCTCTGGGGTGACACTGAATGATGGGGGGTCCTTTGAATTTCCAGAAAAACATAGCAGAGAATCAAGGAGATTGCAGCAAAAGCAACAATGGGATTTTAAAAGACTGGATTATCGCCGTTTTGGACGAGATTATCTCAATAACAAAAGGATTAGCAGCACAATTAACTCTCCTAATAATGGGAAACATTGTAGTGAGTGTGAGTTGACTTATATTAATGCCAGGGGGGCTCACGCATCCAAGTGAAAGGTCAATAAAATGTTGTCAGAGTTAAGTTTTTAATTCTGTGTGACGGGTTCATTTATGGCTAATTAACATGTGCATACACTGGAGTAAATGGACAGTTTAGCAGAACTAAAAGGACATATTTGGTTGCAGTTTCTGAGCTTGATGCGTCACATTATGAATTTTAAATGTAGTTATTATCCATTGAGTTAGAGCACACTTACTTGTAGTATTACATCCACTGGCTCAGATGCACCCATAGTGCCATAGCTGTTGTATGGGGTGCAGGTGTACACACCTGCTGTATCGTCATTGACTGTGGTCATGAACAAAGAGCCCAATGGTGTCAAGGACCATCCTGGATACTGAGAGAAATGTACAAGGCTCACAGCACATAACAAAGACGAGCTAGCACACACAAACAGACACTTGAATGATACATGGCAGCAGTACATGAGCAGAGAGCTTAAACAGCCAAAAGGCAGGAAATCTCGTACGCATGAGCTCCTCAGCTGCGCCTGAAGGATTTACAGAAGAATTCGTGAGATCTGCCGTCCTGAAGTGGTTAAGTACTTAATGCCAAACGGGCAGATTATTTCCAAACTTCTCTTAAATGTTGCATTATATAAAGTGAATGAAAACAGCTTTTGATATCTAAAGAACATGAAGGAGATAAAACGGTCTTCTGTTCAAAACAAACGCTTTTTTTGGCAAGGGGCATCCATGATTTATTTGAAGTGTGATATAAAGTGGCATGCTTATGTTGGCAAGCAACTAACAGGCTTGTATATTGTACTTGCCAGTATATTTTTATACAACTAAAGCATACTCTGCTTTATTTATTTGTTCACTCTACTGGAACTATACTTTATGAAATCAACATCATGCTGCATCAGAGAAAATCATTCATTTACACGGAACATTTTGTCAGAAGTAATGCAATTTTCTCAGACTTTTTGTAACCAGTGAAGTTGCCCCCTGCTGGCAATTACAAAGAATGCAGGTTTAAGGCAATCTTGCAATGCCTTCACAGCCCTTAAGTGCTCAAGTACTTAATGCCAAACTGGCCGATTATTTCCAAACTTCGGATTGAAAACTGTACATCATTTATTAATGTTGACACAGCCTTTGCACAAATGTAACTGAAGTAAATGTAAAAGACTGTTCTAATAAAACAGAAACCTGTGACATCACACTGTACCATAAACTCACTAAATATATTTTTACTGAGATATCAATTTGAGTGAGAAATAGCGTAATTTTTTCATAGACTTCTGTACAATAACACTTATTTTTGCAACCATTGGAGTCGACCCCTGCTGGTCATTAGAAATAATGAAGGCTTAAAGCATTACCACAATAGGCACTTTCACACCGGAGTACTTTTCCCAGGAATAGTTCCGATAGTTCCTGGGATTTTGCATTCACACCAAAGATATCTGGAACTAGAACTTTTTTTCGGGAACCTTTTCCCCCCTTTTCAGTCCCTGCTAGAGAGGTGGTACTTTCCTGGGGAGGAAAAGGTTCCAATTTCTGATTGGCTGGGCGAATTGCAAACCACACCCCGTAAAACTCCGAAAAGTGTTATGAAGCCGCCATTTTATTTGCTCGCATTAGCATTATTAGCATTAGCCTAGCGCACCAACGGAGAGAGAATAACTTATGGCAACACAACAGAAAACGTGGGAGCGGTGGAGTGATGAGGAGGTGTCGGCGTTCGGGCGATTTGCTCGGAAGGCTTCAGTAGAAGCAGCTGGGAGTCCCGGCAGCTTCCACTGAAGCCAGTCCCCAACTCCGGGGACTTCCGGCCGGGGACTTCGGGTGGCAGTATACGTCATGAAGTTGTTTGCGGCCTGCCAGTAAACCCAAAGCAGAAGAAGAAGAAGTGACGTCAGCGGCTTCATTTGCGTAATCCTCCCTCAGGGACTTATTCCGGTGTGAACACGATCTACAAGATAGTTCCGGAACTAAAGATTTCCGGGGAACTAAGTTCCGGGAACTATTCCTGGGAAAAGTACTCCGGTGGGAACGCGCCTAATGACTTCATGGCCCTAAAGTGGTACTTAATGCCAAATGGGCAAATCATTTATATCTTCTATTAAATTGTACATGCTCAGCTTTTGCAAGATGAGGTAAAAGATGAAGTGGTCTTCTGTTCGTATTAAAAGAAAAAAATATTATGGACATTTCCTTTAAGATGGATCCCTCAGTTCTTAATATAAATTCTCTGGAGAGCTTCGAAAATCCCTTTTTGATGCATTTGTATTATAAGCCATTACATGTTCTAGTCATTTTTCCCCAATAAGCCGCACCAGAAGGCTGGTGTTGTGCTATGAATGCAAAAGGTTCGCTCTCACTTTAATGAAGTCAAAACTGCCATTATCCTTCCCAGAATGAGGCTGTGAGAAAGTATTAGTGTGTGTATGAGAGCTTGTGACATCCAGTGTGGAATTGCAATAATTGGGAGAATAACAGCCTGACTCCTCCCGCGCATCAGGGAGCACTACAGGAATAGATCACATTTCCTGTGGCGCTGCTCATCCAACGACATGTCCATCGCAATGACACCAAAGTGTCGAGGTAGGGGGGGACAAATGCAGCATGTGGAGGGCAGGGGTGGGTGGTTGGATGGAAAAAAGGGGTTTAAAAGCTGGCACCCTGTGATTATATTTTGAAACAAAAGTATGTTTAAATATGGATTTGCGATCTGAAATGCTGAGGTTAAAAGATCCTGTGGTGCACTACTGAGGAGTACCCCAGCCTCTCATCTACAAAGGTTCCTATACTGTACGCATCGCATCCATCAGAAGAAGCAGAAGATTGAAGTGGAAGTGGGGGAAAGAGAAACGTGAGAGCAAGGGGCAGTAAGGAGTTCCTTGGGGATTGCTTCAAAAGCTTTTAAGATTGCACATCCCTGTCCTTTAAGGAATGACTGTCCAATTGAAAGCATATTTCCAATAGTGGACACTGAAAATGTCCGACTTAAAACGAAAAAAAACGTCTTCGCCCTGCAATAGCAAGAATAAAGTTGCCCTTCTGCTAGTAAGAAAACTTGAGTTGGCCGATTGTTAGAAAAGCTTTTCATGATGAGCTGCTGACAGCGGCTCATAGATGTCCACAGTCAGCAGCGGGGCCTGACATTTCTCTGCTAAAAGAAGATGAATGGATTCATCCTGTAATGTTTGCAGCATCAGGGTTCAATAAACGGAGCGATGTTGTCCGGACAAAAACAAGGGACAGTAAAGGTCGGTCACTGTTATGGCAGCGCTTCTCAATCCGAAATGATCATTTTTATTACCAAGGACAGGTCGAGTGGTTCTCCATCTTTGGTCCAATCCACACGAAGCAGAGGAGGCTGAGCGGCCGATGGACAGGCAACCGTTCCCTTCATACCTGTCGGGAGGTACGATTTCTGGGGCATCGGAAGAGCCTGGGCTGGATCTGAGCAGAGGAAAGACATTTGAATACATCTGTAATTTATACGTACATCGTTTTGTTATGAATTGCTGCTAATTGAGATGACAAAGCTATTTTACACTGTGTTAAAGTCGGCTCAATAAAACAAGTTCTACTCTGGTTAGAAAACTGTTGGAGGAACACTCAAACCAGGTGTTTCAAGTGTATGGGACAGTTAGTTACCGTGACGTCAGCTTTAACTAATGCATTTGAGAAAATAGTTCTGAATATTATCAGAGATGATCCTCACCCAGCATATTGCCTCTCAGAGGAAATGTTATCTGAAAGGGAGTTAAAAAACAACCCTGGACTTTAAATTGTACATTTTAAGTTCCCTCTGTATTTATTTATATAAATGTATTGCCGTGGCAACAAAGTTAACTCAAGTTTAAGAGCAACTTACCAAGAGCTCTACAGGCTAACAATACACAGGTAGTATATAATTATTAGGTACAATATATATATATATAAAATATTTTGCTGAAAAGTAATTAGCAAAATATACCATTCATGTTTTATTCGTAATAACCACTTTGGTTGTAAGTGATTTGTTGAGACTCTTGAGGAATAGAAAAAAGAAAAAGGAAGTATTTGATGTATTACGAGGGCTCATGACTGCAGACTACAGACAGAAACGTACGCTTCACGGTGAGGTTGGCGGAGGCGGTGGGGGGGGTTCAGCAGGCCATTGCTCGGCATGCAGGTGTAGTTCCCAGAATCCTCAGGGATGAGACTGGAGATGAGCAGAGTCCCGTCTACCATGATCTTCACCCGCGACTTCAGAGACCTTGAGAATAGAAAACAGATGGAAATTCTTCGATATGTAAAAAAACCCAGCTGCTGGTGAATAACAGTGAGAGGCAATTCAGCTCCTCCATTCCAGTCAAGGCAAACACTCTCGGTGAGCATCAACAGTGTGGGAGTGTTTTTTTGCTCTTCTTCCTGTGAGTTATTCACCACTGTGTGCAGTGGAGGTTAAGGAAAATTCATTTCATTTCAGTTTGTGGGTAGAAGAGGGCCCACTCATTTTATACATTCTTACATTTACAGAGAAACATGGAGTACTGTACCAGGCTGCAACAACTTACTAATGCTGATAATATGTGGGACGCCTCACAGTCACACATTGCGGCACATTACCATACAGGTCAGATTACTCATGTACTTTTACTGACACCGATAATTCCCCAGACTACTGTTTTTTTCACTTCACATAACAGCAACCTATTTAGCTTCCCTTTAGAATATTTTTATATTACCAGTGAAAAAAAGGACATATGTTAACAAGTCGCTTGCAATGACAAACAAACCAAAAATGATCACCAAGAGTTCTAGGCCCTTTGGTCAATACTGAAATATCTCAACAACCATTACACAGACTGTCATGGTGTGAATTTGACTGTATTATAGCTTTGGTGACTTTCCATCTAGGGCTGCCGTCATAAAGTAAGAGTGACTTGTCTTATAGTGTAGCCAAATATCTACAAAACAAATGACATTAATTATTTGGCTGACTGTGCTAATTAGCAAATGTTAGCATGCTGACACGCTGAACTAGGATGTTATTGTATACATCACATCTGTGTTAGCGTGTTAGCATGCTAACATTAGCATTTAGCTAAAAGGACTATTCTTGGTAAGTACAGACATCAATCCGCAGTTATCAGGACTGTCAATTTAACTAAGTAGTCGTCTAACGTTATTAAACTATATCGGGGTTGCATGACTGACTTCAGCACTACTAACTACAGGTGGACACGTGTTTGCCGTGAAGACGTTTAAGACTCTTATTTAGCCACTTGTTAGCAACCAACACTTTTAAGACACGTTAAAGCTTCCAGTTCACAAGTAGAGTTTTTACGGATGTAAAGTATGTCCTAGAACAAAATGTTAAAAAGTCTTGTAATTGGTTTCCCATCAACCCTATTTCAGGCATCAAACCAAAAGCTCATTCAAATATTCATTGACTTGAACCAGAAGGGCTAAAATGGAAGCTTTTATTGGTTAAAGGACTCATTCCTGCATCAATCCAAAGCCTAAATTATGCTAATAAATCAACTCAATTCAAAAGTTGAAACAGCTAACTCACTGAATTCTGTTTGAGGGTTTATGTTGTTTCCATCATTCATATTTGATCAAATTGAATCCCTGTGTCGTTAAATATACAGAAAATAAAAATGAAATATTCAGCGATTATGACAACATAAATTGCTTAATCTTGAACACAGTAATGCCAATTTTTAAACTAGCTTTTATGGTCAGCTATAGCCAAAAAATACGCCCTTTAAGTCATGACTGTTAACAACTGCTATATTTTCCCTTTACACTGGTGGATCCTTACAGACATCTGATGGCAACAGGTTCCATCTGCAGTCTCTAACTGCGGTGATGTTTATGCAATGTCAAGCCACAATCAAGCACAGCAGATCTGCTGGCGGATATTGAAAGCACCCGCAACAGCCAAAATAACCCCAGAACCCCCTGGTTATGTGAACATCAAGCGTCCCATTCATAACCTATTCCAAACAGGTTGCACATCAACAGGCCTGTTGGAGATTGCAGCAATTAAAACATTTCCCATGAATCTACAATAAAATGGTGAATAACTTTACTCTCTAATAATTCACTTTTTCTGAGCCCACTTCAGGCCCTAGTGTGCCTCGGGTACTCCAAGGCTACAAAATTGCCAAAAAGTGTGTTTGGCAAGCTCTCAAAGAACTTGGCAGCTTCCTGATTGCATTCTGGCTGTGATGCTAGGTCAACAAAAATAAGGCCTGTGGTGTCCTCTTGTACACACAGAGCAGCAACTGAAGAGGGAGAGAGAAAAAACAACTCTGTGGAGAGAAAGTACTGATAGTTGGAGGGACATCTGAAGCATGACTCAGATATATTATCAAAATCCACAGTCATCAGCACTTGGATACATGTTTTAGAAGAGTGTTACAGACCTGTATATCCTCGACCATATGGATAATATTGTCTATCCTGATGTAACATTATTACCAAACCAGCTTAATCTCCGTCAGCTGATTATTTCAAACATTAATATGCGCGTCCACGGCATATATTGCACGAATGTAGGTATCCAGGAAAGCCCAAGGTATCCGTTATAAATTAGTTTTCCACAGCAGGAGAAAATGGACATGAGGCGAGAGAGGGCGTGTCAATTGCTCAAGTCTCACGGTTAATGCATGAGCCCTGTGAAAGAAGCAGGAGGTGTGTGATTTACGGTGAATAATGCACACACTGCAGCTGCTGGATTGTATTTAATGTGATTTCATGAGACAAAGAAGAGAAATGTGATTAATTGAAATTGAATGTGGATGAAGTTTCGCCATCCTCTCCTTTTCCTGGTTATATTTGCATGTTTCTTTTCGAAATAAAAGCTCACTTAAGAAGATTTCAGTTAATTTTCTGTAGATTGATTTATTACAAAATAACAACGGTATAAATGTCAGGCATGGTCTTTCCTTACGTGTTAAAAAACATTATTTGTTCAACTTTAGGCATAAGCATAAAGTATATTCCACAAATATTCCCTCTATCTATGATGATTTACTTTTCATAAGAAAATCTTCCTGTGCCAAGCTTCAAACACAAACCCCCATGAAACTGAGATATCCTTATAAAGCTGAGTAATTGTAGAAAAAAGAACATTTGACAAAAGAGCTTTTTATCCCGCTAACTCAAAGCAGATCAGAATAATCCTTGTGCTGTACTCAGCTGTTAACAGCATTATACGTCAGCTCCAAAAAGCCTCTCAGAAACTTTTCTCCTTGTCAAAATCAGCTGGAGTATTAACCCGAGTGTAATTTGGATGAATTAGTATGTGTGATGGAGAAATGTTCAGGAGGGGAAGTAATGCAAATGAAGCCCTCCACCTGCTCGACTGATCCGAAACCAGCCACAGCTTTTTAAGAGTGTTCAATCGTCTAGTGGATGAATCCTGAACCGCTCTCCACTCACTCTCGCTGCCACTGAGCACTGCTATTGTCAAACCTCTTCAACAGAGAATAGCATTCAGTGCTTCCACAGTTTCAGGCAAGCGACATCCTTTGCTTTTACAGTAACATGATGGACGTTAAATATGATGTGTTACGTGAATTTTTTGGCAAATGCTATATCCTGTTGTCTTCATTAAGTCTGCAGTGATTAGTTATTTTGGCGATTTAGGTTTTTATGGGAGAAAATGCTTTGATGGCAGACACCCTCTCCACAATTAAGAGAAGGCTTAAGACTTTCCTTCAGAATCAGAAACAGGTTTATTACCAGGTAGGTTTATACGAAGAATTTGACTTGACATCATGGTGCGTACATACAAATAAAACATGAATTAAAACACAGGTAGGGATCTAGAAAAAAATACAAAATACAAAATATAATACAAAATATAGTAAAATATAACAATATTTACATATGGAATGAAAAAAGGAATAAAATATGAATAAAAATCGGCAGTAATAAAAAAGATAAAGCTTAAAGTTAGGGCTGGCGATAGGCTTAGATTACGGCTTTCAACTATAATAATATTAATACGCGTTATTTGTATAGGACTTTTCAAGCATCGGGTGCAAAGTACTTTAACAAGGTTCACATCACAATTTAAAACACAACCAGAGATTTATATAAGGCAAAAAAACCACATGACTTTTATGGTTATTTGGGTGAAGGTTCAGTCAAAAACGATATTATGATCTGTGATGATGAGAGCACTGAGACTGAATCTCACATGTTCCAAGGATTCAAAAAATTATAATTGGTTTAATATTATTATAAATAAATTGAAAGTTATATTTTAGAAACAATTTAATAAAAAATGGAGTAAGTAAAAAAGCCAAAGGATTTTGCACTTAAAAAGAATAGGAAATGGATTAAAATACAGAATACAATCAGTAAAGTACTTCAGACAACTACAAGTAGAAATTGGAATATTTGTATTTCAAAATTGATGAATTGATTTTCAAGGGCTGCACATTTTTCCCTGGACCTTTGGGGGACCAAGGGGTTTATAATATCCACTTCTGTTTAAATAAAGCTAATAATCATTGTGTCCCTTCACATAGGAAACATGTACTCTATAGTCAGTCAGCTACAGTATAATGCAGCGTCCATGTTTTCTACAGTAGCCCAGAAGGGACAGACTAAAGGGAGGAGGGCTAAAAATGAACGCAGGAAATCTGTGCATTAGTGAAAGAGAAGCAGAGCAAATCAAAGCGCTAACAGGGGCTATTTTAGTGCGAGGGCAGGGTTATAAGGAGAACATCTGAACATGAAATCAAAAAGTCACGCTCTTATAGCTGAATACCACACTTTTGAATACAAATAAGTGGAAAAAAGCTCTATATGATTTGATGATAAATCCTACCACCTATGGTACTTTCAAGCAAAAACACTGATAATCACAACATCCATGGAAAAGTCAAAAAAGCACTAACTTTTCTAATGTGCTTTTATTTTGTCATGCCCATTACAAATTGAAATCACAAGAAGTAAAACATTTTTACCTATTATCATCTCGCAGTTATTGTTCCCATCTCTAAAAGGGAATATAATGGACAAAACCTTACCTCACTACGAAAAAGCCACTTTTCTGATCCACCAACAAAACATCTCTATGTTCCAGTTTGTATTGTCGAACACCTCGGATGTGCCTGTAAAAAGTAGTAGCCAAATATAACTTCTTGTGTATAGAGAAATTATTTATTATGATGTCCCTCCAAAAGGTTTTACTCAATCAGACACTCCACTCGCTCTTTGAATAAATACGCACCACTCCATATATTTGAGTTTTTCACTGAGAGCTTTCTTTGGCACTGCTGTGTTATTTTACATTTGCTGCCTTTTGTTGTGATTTAAGTTCAAGCTAAATATGCATTTTAACAACAAATCCTCTGACCACATTACCCCCATCCTCATCCAACTGCCACTGGCTTCCTGTTCAATCCCAGATCAACTCCAAAAACCTCCTGCTCACCTAAAAGACCTCCACAACCTGCCCCCCCCCCCCCCCCCCCCCCCACCTATCTGGCTGACCTGCTTCAGGAGTGCACCAAACCACCATCTTTGAAGACAGAGGGTGTCGTATTGTCATACTGATATTCTGTACACACTGTGAAGACCACTGAGACAAATGTAACATTTGTGATATTGGGCTATATAAATAAACATTGATTGATTGAATGTTTAAACAGCATTGTGTCGTCTGGTGTTGTATTATACAATCCATTGCTTAAAACAGCGGTTCCCAACCTTTTCCAACTCAGGGCCCACTTAAGAATCACATTTTTTTCACGGCCCATTCAACCATAAACAATACGGAGGCTAAATAAAGTTCTCAGAGTACTTTTTATTTTAATTAGAAAAGGAGCTGGCTATCAGTAACAAACAGACATTTATATTACAAGGTTTAGTTGAATACTCGATTCTGATTGGTTAATTCAGAACATGTGACACGTTGTTAATCCAGTAGTACAGACCGCTGTCAAGGACTGTATTGACCGTTGCTAAGGAGGATCAAGAAAGAAAAAGGAAAAGAGGTTCACATAAAAAGAAAAAATCTTAATAATGAAATGTTTCCACACAAATCATAATGTTTTGGAAATTATTTGGCGGCCCACTTGTAATGCCTTCGCGGACCACTAGGGGGCCGCGACCCACAGGTTGGGAACCGCTGGCTTAAAACCAGAGCAGTATGATAAAACCGTGAAGTGAAAGGCATTGCACTGACAAACATAATACAGTTTGCTAACCGTCCCCTCGCCTCGTCACCATGGGTGCTCAGGCTTTTGGCTAAACTAACTAAAAGTTTAAATTAGCCTACTCACCATCAAGTGTATACTTTGTATCCTCCATGATTGCCTATTAGTGTTTTTTTTTTAATCATGTTCTGTTGCTTTTAAGAAGAAGAAATTGAGCCTTTATTTATCGCTCGAAATTCAGTTCTCAGGCGCTAGGGAGCAGTTGGGGGTTCGGTGCCTTGCTCAAAGACACCTTGGCAGGGCCCAGGAGGCAAACTTGCACCTCTCCAGCTACCAGTCCGCACAGATCATTGTAGCATCCCATAATCCCCTCTGTTTCAAAAGTGCTGATTCTCTGTCTGTTACTTTAGATGAAAATAAGGAGCCCCTCCAAACGCCCCTCTGAGAGACATTTGGTTAAAAAGAACACAATGGTGCTCTAGGAGGAGATTCAGGTGATAAGGTGGTGGTGGGGGGGGGGGGGGGTTACCTTAATAATAATAATAAATTATATTTCTATAGCGCTTTTCTTGAACCCAAAGACGCTTTACATTTGGGAGGGAGGGTAGACAAATAAAACAAAAACAAAACAAAAAAGAAACAAAACAAAACAGAAAAGCAGTCAGGAGGAAGTTGGTTGAGAGGGGGGGGGCTTATGGATATACAGAGTTGAAGAGGTGGGTTTTGAGGCGGGACTGGAACAGGGTGAGGGACTCACGCAGGTATTGGGGGAGGGAGTTGGTGATTGGCTAATGGTTACACAAGCCAAATCGTTATGACATCATAAAGTGGCCAAAAATCTGATCAGCTCATTTTCAGACAGGTTTTTATAGAAATGGATCAGGAGAAAAAGTGAGAATATTTTTACACATGTTGATGTATAAAAGACATGAAAACGTGGATTTTGCATAATAGGCGACCTTTAAGTATTAACTCAATTATATGGTGTCCTTGGGTGTAATGAAAGGCGCCCTTATATTAAATGTATTATTATTATTAAAAGTTTGTTAGCAAACTCAGAGAAAGAAATCATGAGTTTCATAAAGAAATGACCTTATCTGACTTCTTTATACTTTAGGCACAAGGCTTCTAAATGCGTGTTTAATTATTTAGTTAGAATAGAGATGAAAAACGGATACCTTTTTTGCCCATGTGTCACAAAAGGTTGATTCAGAATGTACCTCACATGCGCCAGACCTGCAGCAAAAACACTTTTCTCCACTTATACTATGTCAGTTTTACAAGGGCATTCAACGTTAGTCATCAAATCCTTCAGTGAACCGCACATGACTGCATGTCACACAGGCTTTTGGGAAATGTCGCTTCTTGTTTTTGCGCTGGGACCCGCTCTCATGTACAACGGAGCAAGACTCGAACATGGAGGCAGATATTAGTTTCTATTGATGGAGAAGCAGCCTCTTTTATTACAGTGCGGTCCGTGCGATGGTTTTAAGGACCTCATTCAATCACAGCTAAGACGAGTTGGAGAAAGTTGACCTTGAGTGACTTTCTGAAGCAGATCATTTGGAGACCTGTGGTGGAGAACTGAACTCTGGTGTCGATTACAGAGGAGCCATCCAACCTCTGCAGCTTATCCAGAAAGCACATCATCCCTTACTTGACAAAGAAGAAGGATGTATCTTCTACTGATGAACAAAGGTGGGAGAAGAACTCAGATCTTGTACGTGAGTAATTAGAAGTACCAGAGTGTAGGACTACGCTGTTACAAGTAAAAGCCCTGCATTCAAAATCTTACTCAAGTCAAAGTAAGTACAGTACTTGAGTAAATGTTCTTAGTTACTTTACACCACTGCTGATGAAGACGCATATAAAAAGGCTCTTTTGATGAAGAAGCAGATTTTTTTCATTTATTTATGAAGACGTTATTATTTCCTATTAACGAAGAAACTAATATTGGCTTCAGGATTATTGAGGAAGCCGATTTTTAGATTCTATTGATATACTGTAGAAGCAGAATCTTATTTTACATTTTTCTTATTAACAAAGAAGCAGATTTGACTTTTTAATTGATAAATAATCAGATTGTTGCTTGCATTGATGAAGAAGCAGATGTTAATGTATGTAGATAATATAGTGGATAACATTGTTTAACTTTGCTGCAGCTAGAAGATAGAGACTTTAGGGCAGGGGTCTCAAACTCAAGGCCCGTGGGCCAAATCCGGCCCGCGACTTCATTTTATGTGGCCCCGCAAGAGCTTGCAAAGAATATAATAGGGTTACATGCCACTTTACAGAAGCAGGTTGCCCATAAACTACATGTCCCACAATGCATCTCGTTTTGTGACACGCGCACTGAAGAGACTTGCAATTATTTGCCCTGGACTTTTGCTTTCAGACGTAGTTTATTACTAAGTTATTATCCTATCCGATAATAATCCAATTCAGAGGCAATAATGTAATATGATACAATATCATATATATCATATTTATATAGTTACAACCGGCCCTTTGAGTGCAACCTTTATGCGAATGTGGCCCGCGATGAAATTGAGTTTGACACTCCTGCTTTAGGGGAATAAACATATTTTTTTAAATCTTCACATTCAAAAAGTTAATCGACTAATTTTACCGCAGGTCCTTTGTTTATTTACAATTTCCACTACCTCTTTTTGTTGATATCATTTTTCCTCCCTCACTGTGAAACATTTTCTTTTTCAAATCTTCCATCAAAAGCGCAAAGTGAGATTTGATTTAGATGGAAAAATCAAAGCAGAGCCCGTAGAACTAAGAGAATAAAACAGAAAGCTCACAAAGGTAACGTTTTCCTCCGCCTGCTGAGGGACCTGCATTAAACATCAAAGGGGGGAGATAAAAAAAAAGCTGTGTTTCAGGAACAAAGAGTAAAGAGCGCACTCACTCGATGTGATGGACGTTCTCTCCACCTTTCTGCCACACGTAGGTCATGTTGGGGGGGTCGGCCACCGCCTGGCACCGCAGCAATGCATTCTGGGACTTGTTGAGAGAGGTGCTTTTGGGAGGTATGACAATAACAGGCGGACCTGTAGGGAGTCACAAAATATGTGATTACAAAAAGGGATACAATTAAATATAATTCTCTAAAATGGAAGCAGAAATACTTTATTTATCAGAGGGGGAATTTAGTTTTTGTAATAGTCGTTCTGTTTTAGAATTATATTAAATAATAAAACAGTATGGGGAAAATAAAGACCTTTTTGAGCATTAAAGCATGGAAACATGTCACAGTAGAGAAACTAAATACCAATATGAACCTGAAATGAGCATAATATGTCCACTATAATTATATACTCACTGTTAGTCTTTAAAAAAAAGCTTTTCACTTTCCTCAAAATCTGCTTTATCATTTCAATTCAGCCGGTGAGTGTGGCAGAAGTCACAAAAAGTGCCCTTCTTTTTGTCCTTTAGGCTACACTTTTGCCGATAACGTTACAGCAGTGTTCAAAGTTAACTTTGACTGCAAAATAATGTTTGTATCAAACAAAATGTTCTGCTTCAATTGTTTCTTTTCAGTGTTTATCCTTTCAAAAACATGTCCACTGCACTTAAAAACCCTTTGTTTTCTCGCTTGCCAGACACAAATGGAGACAAGCTCCTGTATTAAAGGGGCGCCCGGTCTCAGAGCAATCCAACAGCAACATAAATAACGTTTAAAATAAAATAAAAAACAACTTTCTTTCTTAGGGTCAAAGTGTCATTAAATATGATGACAGTCATTCAGAGCTTCATTCAAAAAACATTAAAGGAGCTTTGAATGTAAAAAAAAAATGTGTCTTCGGGCACATCCCAACGTTTAAATCATACAAAAATAATACATACATAAATCTTAGACTTAAGGAGGACATGCTTTGCTTATTTTTAGGTTCATATTTGTATTTCGTGCCTCTACTTTTCGTGTCTTCATGCTTTAATGTTCTCCCTTTGTCTCCCCCATAGCTCTTATTTATAATGTGCATTTACTCTACCCTTCAGTATCTTTGAAACGTCCTAAATGCATCAAAGAGGACGCATATTTGTTTTTCATTTACTGTGGATCTATGAGAGAGTTACTGATAAATAAAAAAGATACGTAACATACCGACATGAAAGTGGAATCATGGCGGAGTTACACATCATAAAACTCTGATCATGATCTACCTCACACAGAGATGATTAGTATTCGCCTCTGTAGTGTGAATGTGATACGACACACTAAACACACAGTTCTTATGAGTTGAAGGGATTGAAGGGAAAATATTGGAAATATAATTTTGAATGTTGGTGCAATACATGAGGATATATATTAAACTGCCTCTATCCGTTTTCAATTATTACATAAACAAACTCATCTTTAAACAGTTCCTTTAACGTGTAACTGTAGCCAGGCTGACAGAAAGCCACAGCTCGATTGAGCCTTCTATGCCCATAGCACTCAGTAGTAATGATTTTATGTGCTTTTTTAACGATAAAATTGTTACTCTTAGAAACAAAATCAATGACCTCTTGCCTTTGACCAGTATAGTGTTATCAACAGCTCCCGGAAACGTAAGTTCTAATATTACACTAGATAGTAAACTAGAATGCTTTTCAGCCATAAACCTTGAACAATTAAATTCAATGATTCTCTCTTCTAAACCATCAACGTGCATGTTAGACCCAATTCCAACTAAGCTGTTGAAGGAAGTTTTTCCATTAATTAGCACTTATTTATTAAATATTATGAATATGTCTTTATTATCAGGCTATGTTCCACAATCATTCAAAGTAGCAGTGATAAAACCGCTTCTTAAAAAGCACAACCTCGATCCAGAGGTTTTAGCCAATTATAGACCTATTTCCAATCTTCCGTTCCTCTCAAAAATTCTTGAGAAAGCGGTCGCAAAACAGTTGTGTGATTACTTAAAAAACAATGATTTATTTGAAGATTTTCAGTCTGGCTTTAGAACACATCAGAGCACAGAGACAGCTCTGGTTAAAGTCACAAATGACATTCTAATAGCCTCTGACAAGGGACGTGTCTCTATTCTTGTTTTGCTCAATCTCAGTGCTGCATTTGATACTATCGACCATGATATCTTATTGCAAAGACTAGAGCACTTAGTTGGCATAAAGGGAACTGCTTTAGGCTGGTTTAGGTCCTATCTATCTGAACGCTCTCAGTTTGTACGTGTCAATGATGAATCTTCCACGCAAACCAAAGTTAGCCATGGAGTGCCACAGGGCTCAGTGCTCGGACCTATTTTGTTCACATTATATATGCTTCCGTTAGGCAATATTATAAGGAATCATTCTGTAAACTTTCATTGTTATGCGGATGATACTCAACTATATTTATCAATCAAGCCTGATGAAATTAATCATCTAAATAAAATTCAAGACTGCCTTAAGGACTTAAAAACGTAGATGACCTTAAACTTTTTGATGTTAAACACGACCAAAACTGAAGTTATTGTACTTGGCCCGAAGAATCTACGAAACAAATTATCTAAGGATATACTAACTATGGATGGCATTAATTTGGCCTCCAGTGAGACTGTAAGGAATCTTGGTGTTATATTTGATCAGGATTTATCCTTTAACGCCCACATAAAATCAATTTCAAGGACCGCCTACTTCCATCTACGTAACATTGCAAAAATCAGGCATATCTTGCCTCAAAACGATGCAGAGAAACTAGTCCATGCATTTGTTACTTCAAGGCTGGATTATTGTAACTCCTTATTATCAGGGTGTACCAAGAAGTCAGTCAAGCTGACTCAAAATGCTGCAGCTCGTGTACTAACCAGAGTTAGGAAAAGGGACCACATTACTCCTGTTCTGGCTGCCTTACACTGGCTCCCTATAGAACACAGGATAGAATTTAAAATTCTTCTTCTCGCCTACAAAGCCCTTAATGGGCAGGCGCCATCTTACCTTAAAGAACTCATTATACCCTACTATCCTACTAGGGCATTGCGTTCCAAGAATGCAGGGTTGTTGGTTGTTCCTAGAGTCTCTAAAAGTACAATGGGAGCCAGAGCCTTTTCTTATCAAGCTCCACATTTGTGGAATCAGCTTCCAGTTTGTGTTCGGGCGGCAGACACCCTATCCGTTTTTAAGAGTGCGCTTAAGACCTTCCTTTTTGATAAAGCTTATAGTTAGGGCTGATTAGATTCAGCCCCTAGTTTTGCTGATATAGGCTTAGTTTGTCGGGGGACATCTTACTTCTTCCTTCTCTCTGTCTATACCTGTGTACTCTCATGTTCCGATTAACCCAGCTTCCCCAAATGTCTTTCTTTTTGGTGATACGCCGGGATCCGGAGTCATGGATGATCCTGCGCTCCTCTGTCCTGGATCGCGAGCCCTGGATCTTGAGTCGTGGCTGTGGTCCTGGATCATAGGTCCTGGATGGATATCCTCGTGGATTCATATTCCTATTATACACACATGCATTTCCAAACATTTGGACTACCTATGTTGCAAATGTATTATCTTTTCAATTTACACACGGCATCTATTGCACGTCTGTCCGTCCTGGGAGAGGGATCCCTCCTCTGTTGCTCTCCCTGAGGTTTCTCCCATTTTTCCCTTTAAACTGTGGGTTTTCTTCGGAAGTTTTTCCTTGTACGATGTGAGGGTCTAAGGACAGAGGGTGTCGTATTGTCATACTGATATTTTGTACAAACTGTAAAGTCCACTGAGACAAATGTAACATTTGTGATATTGGGCTATATAAATAAACATTGATTGATTGATTAATTAATATTAATATTGCATTATTTATTAATATTATTATTAATAACATTATTTATATATTTGTATTTCGTTTATTATGTGAATATATTTATTTATTATTATTGATTGAGGAAGTACTGAGTTGTTTTACTAAAAATAAATAGTGGAACAATAAATACAAATAAATAAATGCTTTATTAAAAGAATGTTTGTGATATACCAGTATTGACAATAACCCTGATACTTAAAAAAAGGAACAAAATAAATATTTATATATCGATTAAATGTTGTATAAAACCATCATACTGCCCTGGTGAATTATCACATCCAAGATAATGATGTAGTTAAAATGTGATAGTAGCAAATTAGGCTAATTTAAATATTTGTACACAAAATAGAAGAAAACATAAGAAAAAGTATGTGGTGACAATATTTTGGATTAAAAAATAAAAATCTACAATGTTTGTCGAAAATACTGCATAAAAAAAAATAGATAATTTGTTTTACCATAAAGAAGTAAAGTACCTCCTCCATTGTTAATAGTACAGCATCTAAGTAAATATATTTAGCTACTTCCCACAATTGGAGTGTAATAGTGAATGCATCACTGGGTTAAGCAACAAACACTCATATTATTGTGAGAAAATGAGCTGGGGATTTGAGTGTTGAAAGTCCTGATTACTGCTTGACGATTACACCAAAGCACAGGAGAAAAGCTGTCAAAAAGAAACTTTTCAGAAACAAAATAATTGAAAACATAATAATACCCAATACCCCAGAGACTCGTGCTAGAAATTTCATGTAATCTCCTAGTAAACTAATCATGAACGCCTGTCAGAAGGTGTTGCCATACATTAGTTTGGAGGTTACCGAAAGCTTTTAGACTTCATCCAGATCAGCTATAGTCTCCTGTGATCCATCCATGTGGCACCGGCGCACAAAAACACAGCCAAAGCTCACATAATGTGACTAAGACTGACAGTATTAAAGCGGTATGTGCTCGGGATGATTATTATTCAAAACTCCAGAGATATTATGCAAAAATAAATAAAAAAGACAATGTTTCCCCGCGCAGCAGCACAACGCTCCAGACGAGTCCTGGCCCTCCGGAGAAAAAAGACCCCGCAGTAGGTGTAGGTGTAGGAGTACAAAAAAGGAGTCAGGAATAAACAGCACAATTCATTACGTCGTGCTGTGTTGGTGGTGTAATCCTATGATACATAGCATCACATTTGCATATTCTACATGTATTTGTCCTCATATTGGGCAGTCAATTCGTACATTTCAGGCAAGTCGTTGCTGTCAAAAGACACAAAACTATGGAATCTACCAAATGAATAAAAAACCGAGCACATTGAAGTCCTGGATTCAAGAGAAACAATGTTGTTCTTAAACCTATTACCCATGTAGACACACTTGTATTTTATATATAGAATGTGTTAGGGAAATTATTGCCTAGACTACCTAGACTCCTAGATATGACGTACAGGACCAACCCTGACGTCTGTTTATCTCCTTTAAGGACATAGGCTGCTTCAGCCATAATGTTATTGTTCCCATTCTGTGACCGGTCAACATTAGGTCACAGATGGTCTGTTGTTGTGGGTGCACTGGGACACTTCCTTCTATGTTGTTTGTGGACTCCAAGGTATGACATCTTCGAGGCCATAAGTGACGGACGCAAGTGACTCAGTGTGCCCAACTGTTTAAACTATCTTGTCAAAATATGTTGATTACTCTCTGTGAAACCAGTTAAATGGGCTAACGAGAGAGAGGCGCTCCAGAATTGACGTGGCAACCCACCCGTGCAGTCAGACCGTGACTGCTGTGACTTGTGATGTGAATCTCTCCGGCCGTAACTCCAAATAAACCTCCAGTGTTTGACATCAAAGCTCCTGCTCTACCGTGTCTCCTTCCTGAGTCGGTGACTCCCACTGCATTGCTACACAGAAGTTTCCCTTACAGAATGTATCTAAGTGGATGTGTTTTTTGTTTTGAAAGAATAACTTTTCCCTACAAACTCAGAAATGTTGATACCTATAGGCCTACAATTGAAATTATATTATTCTTGATAACCCAAAAAACAAGTGAAATTCTATATAGGCCTACATGCCATTGTTATATTGCTCATATTAAAGCTCATTATTCCTTCACTAATATATGTTTTAAATATATATTTATTTATTATAAGGCTGTCCTTCAAACAACTGTTTTAATTCAAGTTTCTCACCAAATACAAGATTACATTTGAATAGTTTATGATAACGATATAATAATCCTTTGCCCAAATCTTATATTTACTGAAAGCTTGAACGAGTCATTATATAACTCAATGAAATCTTGCTGTGTTTACCTTAGCTGTTAACTTCGGTAGCTAAGCTTACCTCCAGCTGCTAACAGCTAACAGCTAACATTTGGTGTCTAGTTCTGCTCTGATTTTAACACATATATACTCTTCTGATTTAAAAAAAAAATGCATATCAGGAAAAACAAAATCCTCCTGAATAAGATCTCTGTTTGTACCATTAGCTAACGACCGGACAAAATGAGTATTGGGCCTGACAGTGCTAGATTGCTATGGTATGGCTAAAAATGCTACTGCTATAGCTAGTAGGCTAGCTATAGGCTATGTGTTTTCTTGGGAATCTGTCACATTTTGAAAACATTACATCTCATGATATAATGACATATGTTCAAGCCCACAGCTCAAGAGAAATGTACATTTTCAATAAACCAGAAACATTTTTAGATATGTAAAAAGACCATTTTGTTCCCCCTGCAGCAGCTTCACAAACTCCTAAAAACCGCGTTAAATCTCTGAAACTCAGCCTGCAAATTGAACCAAACGCAGAGCTTCATGACGATAAAGCAACTCTCTACATCCCCAATGAAATCCTGTCTCAAATGATGATATCAATATTATCCACACAGCGCCAGAACATGAGTGAAATTCAGTTTGAGTTGCTGCTAAGACTTGTGTCATATGATGCAAGAAGGAGAAAGAGAAACGGATGGCATGCAGCCAATTTAGGCGCGCACACACACACATCCCAGAGAATGAAGGAACACACACACACACACACACAGTGACCTTTGATCTTGACTCTGGTCACTCGGGTCACGTTCCCCTCGGAGTTGGAGGCGTGGCAGGTGTACTCTCCTGCTGACTGTGCGCTCACTGCTGGCAGAGATAAGGCTCCTTCCTGTAAACATCATTATCAGATCAGCTGAGAGGCACATTGACGCAACTAGAACATATAAATACATAAATGTAACAGATAGTGTACGCACATACAGACAGGTACACACATACTGTACATGTGATACATACTTATGATGGATTAAAAGATGTGGAATGTGTGTAGGATACACTAAGGAATGCACTTTATTGAAACACAACGCATTTGGTGAAGAAGTTGAAAGTCTGTTTGCAGAATAAGATTTTAAGTGTTTAATTTGAAGGATTACACAGGGCCGTCCCTTGCTCAGTTGAGGCCCCCTCCGCGAGGTGAGGCCCCACGCAGTCTGTGTGATCTTCCTGTAAGGAGGGACGGCCCTGGGATTACATCAGTGCTTCTGGTTTAATTTGTTAGTGTTTCCTAGCTAATTCAACATTTAAGAAATTCGTTAGTTATTATTTGGAGGAAGCCGACCACTAGATTGTGAACCAGACGGATCCGCCTATGATTTTTTTTTATATTTGTTTATTTTTATGAGTAATATTGTTTAATCTAGTTCCGTCGCTACCAGATGCAACAATGGGTAACCATGAACACACTTTAACACATACAGTACTGTATACAACCCTTGTGAAATGAATTTGATGGTATGTAAATACTGTTATTTGTTCATTTTATGTACATATTTGACATAAAATGAAGATGAAATGTAATATAATCCAAGCTATAATCCACTGCTCGTTAATGCAAAGAGCAAATCAGACAATCATGTCGCAGTCATTTCGTGCATTTAAGGATTTATACATCAAGATGATATTTTTAAGATCAATCTAAATCATCAGAATTTGGCTGATTTAAGTGACTTTGAACGTAGCATGGATGTTAGCTTACTGTAGCACTAGACACAAAAATGAAATCCATATTCATCATTAAAGCACAGTTGTATAACATACCTGATCTTCTGTCCTTTGAATGACACTGCCATCCTTTAACCAGGTGATTGTTGGAGTGGGGTTGCCATTAGCAACACAGGTAAGCGAGAGGGATCTTCCAACCAGAGCTTCCACCACAGGAGGCGGGGCTTCGGCGAAGGTGGGTGGAGCTACGGAGTAAATCATTAAAAGATTAACGTCAATTCATTTATACAAGGAAAGGATTTATACAAGTAAATCCCCTTCTGTTTCATTTGTAAAACACAATATTCTCTATGAAAATACACCTAAATAAGGGCTGGTTGATATGTAAAAACAAATATTACGATATTTCTGATGAAATACCTTCATATCGATATTGCGTTGGGTTGACAATTGGTGCTTTAACAAAATATTTATCAGTTATAAATAGTATAATTGCTGGTAGGTTATGAAAAATTAATTACTTTACTGTAAGCCTTTACAAACGAGAAAAGGACACTTAATATCATATAAGAAATGACGATATCTAGTCTTATATTGCGACTTCGATACAATATCGATATTTTGCCAGGCCTTAAAATAGAGGAACATTTTGCAAAATAAAACTCTACAGCAGCCACAAAGCAGCAGCAATACCAGAAAAAACTTCAAAGAGAAAAAACTGAATATCAGACAAAAAATCCTTGGTCTCCATTCTCAGCATTTTATCAATTCATGTACAGCAGCTCAGCTTCGTTCATTAAACAGCAGCCGTCTGTGTTCAGTTAACTTCCATCAAGTTCCATTATTATTTCAACCAGTGCCAAAGTCAAAAAGCTGCCTTTTTTTTTTTTAAACTATAAATGATTTACACTTTGATCTCATCACAGAACACAGAGAATTTTCCTTTAACGTCCGACCCTAAACGAACCGCTTGCAACAATCCTTCTGATTTAAACCTTTGTTGTAACTTATATTAAATAACCAGTGGAAAAAGTTTCTTTCTACAAGACTAAGAATCATTTTTTTGTTGTTATCTGGATTACCGGTTGAAATGTTTGTTTTAGTGTTGGAGAGGCCTGGTGAAACTATGGTTTACCGGCAAACACTCCTGGTCTAAAACAAATACACTTTTAAATGTGAATGGCTTTTGTTCTTTGAGCATTTTCAGCCCATGGAGGCCTTTGACAATCTCATATATGTTGAGACAAACACTAGGGAAATAAAGAGCATACCTGCGAGGGCTGTCAGTGATGGTGCGTTCAAGGCCTCAGTCATAATCTATTATATTACACTCGTTTCTAACGGGTGCACACAGGCCAACTCGGTGCAACTGTCTCGCCTCGCTTTGATCTGCAAGCGTGAGCCCCAACTTTGTTCTGTATGTTTGTGGCAAAGGTTTTCCCAATTGCGTATAAACTTCAAAGCACAACAAAATAATGATGCATATTTAGATGTATTATTTAGACCCATCTATACGTAGGGTGACAACTGTAGTCAGGAAAAAAAAAGCGTGGAGAAAGTCAAAAGTCGCCCAATTTACCTGATCTGTAAAGAAAGTTTACATTAAAAAAAGTTTTTAAATAAAAGTTAAGTTTAAACAACGTGTACACAGAGTTTGAGTGGTGCTTTACAGAGTAGTAGACAGGGATGATGGTGTAGATGATTTAGTAGTTAAATTGGACTATTCTGCTAATAAGGCTGAAAACCATGTACTTGGAACCTTTAGATTTATTGTATTATTTGGCATAGAAAGGGACAATTTCTGCAATAACGTCATTGTATACAGTAGGAAGTGGCAGAATGGAAAATACAGTAGGATCTACAGGAACTTGATAGTTCAAACCTGCTCAGTGCAGCTTTAATGTCAAACTGATTAAATATATCTCAAGACATTTGTATAAAATAATAAATGCACTTTTTATTTATTTGTCTGCATTGAGAGACTGACGCTAACGCTAACCCACCTCCTTTGTACACTAAGTGACACTTTGTGAGAGCTGCCAATGACTAGGCTTATAATGCCACCACTATATATATATACTCTAATAATAATATTTAAATATGAGACTATGCACTTTAGCCAGTATAGTGCACTATAGTAGCCGACATTGCATCTCATAGTAACATCGGCCCTAAGAAGTCAGTCAAACACTGCCATGAGAAACGCCCACCAATATGTATAAAACATGTATTATCCTCTTTTGAAAAGTGGCACATTATGTACAACACACAGCATATAGTTTCAAGTATCGTTCGACATAAGAGCCTCATATATTACATTTTGACTAGACCAGAGACTGTGTATAAGGATCTGGTTTCATGCAGCCTAAGGCCAATGTTCCCTTTTTAAATGCAACTTTTGGCATCAAAGATCCGCTCCTGCTGCCATTATGATCCTGGCTCACATTGGGTTTGGTTCTAAGAAAGATATGGAAAGAAAGTTGCCACAATAAGAGCAAATTATCAAATGTAATAATTGCAGCTGTTTCTCTGCTGATGTTATAAGTTATGCATTCGGACTTTGTGTTTTGATTGGCACACCAGGCGAAGAGCAATCTTATATTTTCAAACTACATATTTTCAAAGCAGGTTTTGTCCTTCTTACTCTCCAGGGAAGTTTTTGTTTTTGCGCTTAGGGTTGTGTCTGTCAGCAGGAAAATGACAAACGAATGGCCTTTTTATTTTTTCCAAAACTTAGTGGAAGAGTAAAGCATAGGCCATGAAAGAACACATTAAATGTTGGAGTGGATCTGAATCACATGGCTGACACACGCAGTCATTTTCAACTATGGAAAAAGGCCTTGCCAGAGGTCTCTCCGAGTGCCATTCTGGTTAAGGTTAGGATCACTGATTTTTCTCCTATGAAGCGAAAGAAACACAAACACACACCACCCACCGGTTATAGAGAGCCGAGTCCAGGTAGCATTTTGCGGCTCATCCGTGGATTCATCCAGCAAGAGGATTCGACACTCGTACAAGCCCTGGTCGCCCAACTGCAGCCCCTCCACCCTGAGGTCGGTGAAGCGAACCAGAGACACCCGCCCTGCAGAAACAAAGCACACAAAGACACATTATAAGCCTGCACCTGATGCTGATTTCACCTGTCATTTCACTCCAAGCATTATTGTTCTGGCCCGAAACAGTACATTCACAAACAACACACAAAAATAAATCCTGGTTGCCAGGTGAAGGCTTCCTCGAGCTGGAGCGCGGCTAGTAACACCGGCCCTTTATCTTTTTTTCCCGGCTGCCGCTCACATCTCTCCGGTGTCCTTCTAGTTTTCACACTTTATCAGACAGACAATTGTGTGGCAACTCAACAGCAGGGAACGGCCCGGCTAAAGAGAAACTGTCAATGGAAGTATTATTGAGCTCTGCTCTCAGGAAAACAAGACAACATGAACACAATAAAACAAACTGGAAGCCTCAGTGCTGCTGGGATGAGTGTGTGGCGACGGTAATTATTAACCTAGGCTTTTTAGTGGCAGGAAGGGACAGTCGAAAAAGAACCAGGAAGTTGGAGTTAGGCATGTTGGCAGAGATAACACACCTTATTTACTTTTCCGTGCTGCCAAAGGGGGAGTAAATCCACGCGGGGAGGGAGGAAAACAGTGGGGGAAAACACACATCAGCAAACACTCTAGGGATTACGCATTTCAAAATCCTAGCCTTTGACCCGTGGGAGCTTTATTTTCCCCGTGGTGTATTTACTCGCTCAGTGCGATATAGGTCATACAGCACCTCAGAGGAAAGGTTGCTTTGACGCAGGGAAACGTGATTGAGTGTCATCGGATAAAAAGGAAGGGTGGAGGTGAAGTGAGAGCATGACCCAACAAATGCCGCACAATGACACGATGCACCACGACAAGGGATTTGAATGCGAGGTAAATTAAGCGTGAGAGGGAAAGCAGAGAAAGAAGAAAGGGAAATGTGTGTGAATGCTTTGAGGTTTTAGTGAGTTTTTGGGCGTGTAACTCAACTGAAAAGTGTAGGTCATTAAGATTTGAATGGTTGATGGATAACAAAAGAGACAACAAACAATGTCTCTGAGAAAACTTATTATAATACAATGAAAATTAGATAATAAAATAGGAGGCATAGAAACACATTTCACTATAGAAACGACATTAATTAGAGGCATCAAATGATGAAAAAAAGTATAGGTCTGGGTCAAAATCAAAATGATATATATAATATAATTCATAGTAACTTAATAAATCATACAAATATTATAATATGATATACAATATAATATTATAAAATTAGTATAAGTAGTTCTGTTGTCTCTATTGAACTAATTTAAATCTTTCATTTTTTTATTTTAGATTAAAGAAAATATAATTTGCAGTAAATATAGATAAATCATTATAAGAATATTATAATTTATAATCAATTTTTATATAAAAAGGAGTTAATATAATATAAAATATAAATAATTAGCCACACAAATGTTTATTTGTGTCTCTATTATTATCTATCCTACCTTGTATTGCTGCATTTTGATGTATTTATTCAGCCATTTTAATTGACCACTTTTTTTTAAACATCATATGCACTTGCCCAGCTTCAGCGTTGGACTTAAATATTTTGTGCCTGCCTTCAGCCAGATACACAGTGGAAACCAAGAGGAGGCTGATTTTGCAGCTTAATGCCAATGTTTTTTGGAATGAAGTGAGTCTGGCCTGATTAATATGCAACACAACTGCTCCGGTGGCCCCTGTAAGAATAGTTTTCATACTGTTGAGAGTAAAATAACAAAAATAATCCCCTTTTGTTGGGAAAATACTGAATGTACTCTTTCAATATCAGAGTAGCACATGATAACGAAGGCCCAACTGTAACTGACATGTACATGACAGGATGTACATGTATGATTACATGGAAGAGCATCAGGACTGTTTTAGGCATATGATAGCTATGTGATTAACACGATGATTCAGCCTCTACGGAGATAGACATATGACAAGCATGCTCATTTCTGATGTGGGTTTTAGCTAATCTGAACTAAACATTGAATACTGCTTTAAACCGGTATTCCTCCATCTTGTGACTGTGTAACTCCCTCTCTTGTATATCAGCATGTGAAGGACACAGTTCTGGAACTAGTTGAACCAAATGCTCTACTACTTCCATTCTTGCAAGGATAATAAATACATGTATCCTGATATTGAAGCTCAAGCCGGTGACGAGTGACACCTTTGCTTGATGTTCTCTGACATTCAGTCAACTTTACTGACATCCTGCTAGCTTCAAAATGTTCCAACGGAGTAAAAATACCTTAAACCCTTGGTGGTAAAAGACTAAAATCATTCTTTAGATCATGACACGGGAAACCAAAGAGTGAATATGATACCTACAACAGGTAAAAGCCCCTCCCCTATACCAACATCTTATATTCCATCCCCTGGACCCCCTCCTCTCACTTCTTTGTTACTAAACAAATACCCTTTATCAATTCAATTCATGCACAAACACACTGACCACACCCATATCGATTCTCACACACACACACACACACACACACGTCCAATGCATTAATTGCAGAACTGTTTCTAACTGTAGACGCTCAACCATCAACCCCAGAAGGCTTGTTCCCTCAATACGGTCTCAGGTGACGGGGAAACACGAAACCATTCAGCGCTGTGAGGAAATACAACTCTTTACAAAGGAATAGCATCAGTCTGATTTGAAAGGCTAACAGACTCTTCTGGCCTTAGAGGAGATTATTAAATGCGGCAGCTATGTTGCTTAAGGTAATAGCTTCAAAAAGGGGAGGGGTTTAATCTAAATTCATTAATAGTGAATTTAAACACTCGTGTAAAGTTTAAAACAGGACTATGCTCAGTTTGAGGTTCATATTTGTGACTCTACTGGGACTGAACTTTGGGATTTAAGCCTTTGCAGACCATTGACATCCACAAAAACCTATATAATAAACTACAGGAAAGGGAAAACCCCACAAAGCATATTGGGCCTCTTTAAATCGATTGGTCAGTCTATTATTTTTCCTTTTCAATGCATTTTTTCCTTTAATACCATACGAATAAAGGATTTCTGACGCTGACTCTTGGATTCAACTTTAAAGAGCTTTTATTTATTTGTTTTGCAGCGTTACCCAAGTTGTGTTCATTCCTGTCCTTGCTTCCTTTGCTTTTTTTAAGCGCTGCAAATGATGAAGCTAATCAGGCTTTGAACTACAAAATGACCTTCAAAGTGAAACATGCAATGTAATGTAAAGAAGCAGGCCCTTAAAACACGTTTTGTTGCCTCAGTTTTATTCAGAGGGAAGGCTGCACCAGAGGTATTGATTTTGCTTCTCCCAAAATTAATGTGTAACATTTTGGAGACAAAGTTAACAAAATCAATGTGGAAAGTATTCGTTTTGGACAGCGCCTCTTTATGAAAAATAATTAAAATTCGATACTGCATTGTGTGACACAGACGTTTGTGGCCCTGAGAATGTGATATTCACGGGCGGGGAGCCAACGTCGTCTCTGAGGGATGTCGTCAGCTCTTGGCAAGCGGAGGCATTCAGGTAGCGGTTAAAAAAAAAAAAAGAAGCAGATGAAGTTTCACTCCTCGCTGCTTGTTGCTCTATTAAACCCCGCTGTGTGCGATCGAGCTGCCTCCTTGCTGCTCTAACAAATATGAGTAATCCCCGGGTAAACCCTCATGTTTGTCTATGTGGGAAAGGAAGCTCATTAGCATTGTTAACTGTGTGTAATGTGTTCAGATCACACACACTCCTGCTGATTGTGATGGGATGTGCACGGTAGAGCAGTGCATTTAGACAGCTGTATTTACTTTTTATGGAGTCAGCAGCTGTATGGGAGCTGAGGGACTTTCTGTCCTGTTCACAGAGCACAGAATAATCCTTTGATCTTTACTGCTCTATTACAACAAATACATTTAAACCCTTTTAGCTCTTAACACCCTCGGGGGAGCAGCCATCTGATGTATCTCACACTTTAGTAGCTGCACACACAGTGAAACACACAGCATATTGATGGATGAGGTGGACTGTAGGAAGTTTGATGTATATCCTCTTAAGGCAGCGGTGTGAATTCACAGAAATGATTACTCAACAAAGTCAGAAAAGACTTCCACTCTGACTTTAACACCAATGACTCCTGACTTGGACTTTTGACTTAATGTCTTAACTGTTGCCCAAATATGACAAAGTATGTTATGGTGTGCCATAAATTACCCTTTATTTACTGATAAACTACCATTAGAAGATATTCATTTATTCTAGTCCAAAGTTAATAGAGTGATGCAGGAATGAGTCCTTAAACCTGGAGATGACTTGTCATTTTACCACTTCTAGTTCCCTCGTCTGAAAGTCAATGGGTTTTTGAACATGTTTGTGGTTAGAAGCCTAAAATAAGGCCTGTGGTTAACACAAGCTTAAGAGATTTTCACGTAATGTTGCACGGTATAAAATACATCAGTAAACACCCCACTGGTGAATGTCCAAAGCTTCCATGTGTCATACAAATGGGGGTTGCTAAATAGTGACTAAATGAAAAGACTTAACCTCATCACACCAAACATTTGCGCCTTTAGCTTAGCGATGGTGATGCAATGTAGTTTGTTTATAGCCTTACATTAGCTCTTTACTTTTGTGCCATTGCATTTACGCTTCAAAAATGGCAGTGATGTTAATGTGTGGAGATTATCCTATTGAAAAAAACCTTTAGATATCATAATTGTGTGTTAGACAGAATGCTTCTTTTCTGCAATTTACTCAAATCCAATAAGGAAATGCCATTGCTTTTTGTCGAGGGAGACCGTGAGATAATAACTAACGGGTCGACGCACAAAAATCAGTGCACCAACCCATTTTCCAAATCCAGTTGTATAGGCCAATCCAACAGCATCCAATCAGGTTGCAGGAAAATCATGAAGACCTAATGTTAGGTTACTGAGCACCACTTCGAGAATGCTGTTAAATTTGATTAATAGCGCAATTTTGAAACTCAAGGTTTGGGACTTGAAACTTGTTAGTCTCGACTTTGGAATTAAGTGCAAGGACTTAAGACTCATTATAGGTATGGAAATAATTGACCCTGTCTTAAGGTGATGAATAAGGAGCAATGGTGGGAGTAAAGCGATTCCCAACTAAACTTGGATTTTAACACCAATGACATTCGACTTTACTTGGGCATGAGTTTTTTTACTTAAAGATATTTTATATCTTCGCCCGAGCCAGAAAAACGTAAAGCATATTATTTAATTAGCGTGCCCCAAATCTATTAATAGACGTATGTGTTAATTGAGACTGAACCGACCAGATCCAATTTGTTGGACCAAAACCAAACCGCATCCAAGTTGTATTTGAAAACCATGAAAAAGTAACGTTGCATTACTGTGCACCAGTTGGAAAAATTGATACCCAGGATTACACTACATTATATCATTAAGCAACGCTTTTGTCTAAAGCAACTGACAAAAACTGCAAAAACACTTCGATATCGATATGTTGCCTGCAAGGATTGAGGATCCAACCACTGACCGACTAAAAGGGACACCCTTTTACCCCCAGAGCCACAGATGCTCACAGCCTGATAAAAGTGCATACCTAAAACAAACAGTTGTCAGCCAAAAACATTTTGAAGACTTTGAGTAGACATTGGTATTAAATTGAAAGAAAATGCACACTATGACTTGGGACTTGCGAGGAAAGACCTATTTGGGCCTTGCAAAACAATGAATTTCTGTTTTAAGGTCACAAACGGCTAAAAAAGGTGGGTGCCATAGCCGAGTGAACCTCTTGGATATCTCAGGTAACCATAAGAATCGCACCTACTAAACAACAGTGGGACTCTGGGTCCAGAACCGTTGAGACACCTGAGAACATGGCCTGGGGGGGGGGTGAAATCCACACTACTTGACCCACCTCTAAAGCGTTAGTTTCCCATGCGGCACCTGTTACTCCCCACACCAGCCAGTACCTGTGAGAAATCCCCGAGCTCAGCATCAGAATGGACAAAGCATCTTTTTTCAAACCTTTTTGTATTAGCAGCTTTCTGTTAGTCACCTGAGAGGCATGTGATTAGCAAACCTGTCCTTTTTATAACAAGGCCCTTTATTGTACTTTATGGTCTAGCGAAGCTTACAAGAAGTGTATTCATGGGCCAAAGGCTAGGCAAATATTTAGGGTTTTTTACCACCAGTATCTTTTTTACCCCGCATCTTCTGTAACAAAGAGCCAAAGTAATGAAGTATGACATCAGAGCACGTTGAAGGATTGTCTCCACAGTTAATGACAAAAAGGCTACCGTCTCTTAAGAGCCCGGGCTAGAATTAAAGCCTGCCCCGCTCCCACTCACGATAATTCATCAGCCAAGGTTCACCCTGACTTTATTGCTATGTAAATGTCTGTATCTTATTTCCTGCTGGGGTTGGGCGAAGGAGTGGCATTCGACTCAAATGAGGAATGCTCTTGTTTCAGCCGAAAGCAAGTTCTGATCCTTTGACAAACATATACTTCATTGTAGTGATTACTGTTGTTTACTGTGTGGCACTGCAACCAATGGATCTGAAATGCACTTTTGTACGTCTTTTATACATGAATATGTGTCCCCGGTGTTTTCAGGGAACTCACCAAGTGTCAGAAAACACAACCCTCTCTCTTTTCCTCCATACCCAAATCTCTAAAAACGGGGCTGCAACGGATCTGATACAGACTGATACAGATTTGAAATATCTCTGACGTCAGAAACAAGGAGCTCCGCCTATATGGGCAACTCTCCACCTATGAGGGGAATGTGAGGTTGCCGTGGCATGGTAACAGCATGGTAACAGCATGGTAACAGCATGGTAACAGCATGGTAACATGACGCTCGTGCCTCACCCCCCTCCTTTGCAGGGGGCCGTGGTCAGCTGCAGCTCATTTGCCACAGAATCAGCCCTTGCAAAAACAGGGCTGGAAAAGAGCAAATAGAGCGAAATGAGGCATGGCTAAAATGCATGATCTGTTTGGTATTTTGAAAAAAAAACTTCACAGACATGTTTTATATAGGTATGGCCCTACAATATATTATTAAAATATAGCATGATAGGTCCACTTTAAATCATCCTGGTGCTTTACATACTTGGTAGCAAACCAGATGGGTAATAATTAAATATTTGTTCGGGGCTTGAGGCTGTGTGTTCATAAAGGAAAGGGAAGTGCAGTGATATGGACAAACGCATTGATTGATTGATTGATTTGATGAGAGTCGGAAAATCAAAGAATAACACTGGCCTTTTCATTAAATAAGGGCAAACCCGAAAAAGCATAATAGAGCCCCTTTAAATAGGGCTGTATATTGGAGAGGATTTAATATAGAAATATGCAGCATTTGTAGGGACCTGCTGATTGACATATCGGCCTTTTTCTACTTTTATTTTCCCCTATTGTACGAAGCTTTTAAGTTTGAAAGGAACATCCTCTCAGTCCACATGGTCTGAGAGAACCACATTCTGTATCAGCTAGTGCCAGCTTTTCATTGAAGCCATACAATGTTTAAAGTGAGTAAAATATTTCAAAACTTCCTCGAATGGGCGCATAGTATACTAAATGCCCTTTTTTTTTTTTATCAGTTTATACACATTTCCCTAAACTTCAGCCTGATGTATTTGACATTGTTGGAAACAGACTTTAAATCAAGCTATGTTGATTTGAGCCACGTTTACTGTAGCTTTGCAGCATGAATTTTTAATGACTGATGCAACAGCTGGTAATTTGGGTTTATAAGGTTAAATCTCTAATTGTTTCATTGTTATATGAAACAGTGATTGTTGGAGTCTCCTAATGACGGTGTTCAACTCGCTGAAAATCAATGGCAAGTGATAGTTAGCTGCTCCCACCTGAATATTAAAAATAATGCATTTATTTCCCTCTTTGAAGTGGTATCATCATGCCTGCTGGGGGAGTTTATTTCTAAAAGTGCATTTTAGTCAAAACATGGCGCTCCAGCAGAAATTCAAATAGCCTTTGGAAAAGTCAAAAGGTCGAATATCTCTTCAGGCAACTCTATGGAAAATAAAAAAGACTGATAAAAAAGGAAGATCCGAGCCACCTAGACATGCTCTCCTCTGTCCACACTAGTCCCATTGTGTGTGACTTTAAAGGATAACAGGAGCTACACAAAGGTATTCTTGGTCCATTGAGGATCCTTTTCCCCACAGACTGTCTTTGTTCTGGGAGCTGTGGGCAGAAAGTGAACAAAAGATGATGATGCAATGCAAGAGTCTTAACTCCTTTTAAAAAGTAGCTCCCACTGAGGCGGGTTTGAAAGGCCATCAAGGTGTGATGCTGAATGTCCTCTGAAAGCCATGTGAACTGAAGCATGTCGAAACCATCCTCATTCTATTCATTTTCTACCTTCTCTGGCCTCGAATCACATACATGGTGGCATAAAGGTCTGTTACTTAAGTTATTGTGAGAAACTTTGCAATTTTTTTGTTGTTCAAATATGCATGTGGTGGTTTAACATCATGTTGCAGGTGAACAGTAAACAAGACTACGAGTCAACAGGCTTTCTATTGGCTGTACTCATCTAAATCAGCAATTCAGATTAGCTTAATGCTAATAACAGTAACAATGAAGATGTTAGCATGCTGTTTTTAAGCTGGTGTAATGTCTAAAACTAAGTTTAGGGTGACCCACTTCTTTTCTAGGTTCAGGAAAAGATTATTGTTTAGGTTAAAGAACATTGTTTACATAACTTTGACATAACTTGAAATCCAAAAGGAAAAAGTGTAACATCCCAATTGTATTCCCAAATGTCATGAACACTAGCAGTAAGCTCACTTAAAAAGTGTGTGCTTGAGCTATGCATCAAAGTACATAACACTTGCATCATAATCAAATTACATGAAGCCAATGAAAGCCAGGTTAAAAATAACGAGACATTTGTACATGTAGATCCGGCATGAATATATAGAGAGACAATATGTCCTTGTTTAGACAATAACAGATACATTTGCTGTAGCACAGTGAAGAGAAGTGATGAGTTTAACATTACAATGTTCTGTTGGATTACATGTGATCCTTCCCATAGTGCTTACCTTCATATTGTGGATGTAGGCGAGGCGCATAAGATCCAAATTTGATCAGGACGGGGATGTCCAGTCCTTTTCGGACCCACTCCACTACATGCAGGGACGCTGATGGCACAGTAGCCGGCCCTGATGGAGTGAAACTACACTCCAGCTCCACCACACCTCCAACCTTTCCAAGGACCTCTGGATTGACGCCTTCAGCGGTCACTGTTCGGTCTATAAGAAGCCAAATTGACACGTTACTTGATTGACTTGGACAACGGTGTGCACATTATATGGAAAAGTTTATCTGAAAAGACAGTGGGAGGCTAAATATATTGTTGATCAAACGATGGAGATACTTACGAAATAGGCAAACAAGTGACACCACAGTGAAAGTCTGCAAAGATAATTTTGCTGACCCCATATCTGTCACTCATGCAACCTGCAGCATGTTCAATCTGTTGGCAAAAGAGACACAATTGTCACAATCACATTACTTCCTTGGCTGCACGCAAGATGACTGCCGTCTGTGACAGATTTCTAAAGTAAGAAGGCTAAAGCAGAGCTGTCATATTTTAACAGACAGGAGGAGAGGAGTGTTTAGATTTTCATACAGATTTCCAATAACTGGAATTCTTCCCATATCATTACACAAATGGGTAGAGCTGCCTGTGCTGCCAGAAAACTCCTGGGCCCTATATCCTTTTTCTGAAAGTAAATGACATAAATGCCACATAAATCTCCCAAGAGTCACATGCAGAGCGACATTTAAGTGTTTTACTTAGATCACATCAATGGAGACATTTGGCTGGGGCGGCCAGGAGACTCAGCACTCAATGAGGGGGATCAGTTGAGCTGAAGGCAGCGTACGCATCAAAGAGTTCAACTTAATGTCAAGACGCTGCGACCGATTTATTACGGTCAAAACAACCCTGGCTTCCATTTTATCACTTGTGTGAACCCGAGTCAGGACACCAACAAGATACTGTAGGTCAGATTCAAGACATACAGTACACACACTAAACACATCCATTATTTCACCTCCTTTCAAGCAACCAGCCGCTGTTTGAAATAAATGAGTAAATGCCACACATGCTTATGATAGGTGTCATATCATGCAGGACATTTACATTGAGCTGCTGGATAAGGTCAGATGTGACAAGAAATGAGCGCTCATATCAGCTCTATGTCCACACACCATTTCAGCTTGCTAGCTTCAGCTCATATCTCATTAAGCTGAGGTAATGACAGTGTGCACATGTAAAGAGCAAAGGTGAACATGTATACACTCACAAAGGCAAACATGAAGAAGTGTGCCAGATAAGAGACAGAAATTGCCCCCCCCCCCCCCCTGTTCCACATGCGTAGAAAACTGAAAATGTATTTTGAGTGTTTGGTCCAAATAAAAGTTGATAAAACTGCAGCTACGAATGACAAGTCCCGTGCTTTTTGATACATTAATCAACCCCAACTTCCTCCCAAAGACAACTTCTGCGTACTATAATTTGGAAAGTCACTGTGATAAGTCAAAAACAAATGCAAGCCAGGAGAAAATATGTTTCCCTTAAAAGCATAATTGGCTAAATGCAACTCCACTTTAAAGCAGAAATTGTGTAACTCTTGATTGCGGTGTTGGGACACTTTTGTTTCTCAATGCAAGGCACAACAGAACGTAGGAAACTGCACAAATCCTTGAAAAAATAAGAATTCAGTTTTAGTGAAGATTTGTCTTGGAATTTAAAGCACTGTGACTGTGCGTGGAAATATAAATTAATTTCTTTGAAAGCTACCTGCCACAAAGTGCATGTCAACATGACCTCAAAGCGCGCAATACAGCTTTCCTGTCCACCAGCATGGAAATATGTCATCGACAGCACTTAACCCTGTAAGGCCCACTGTTGTAATTTTACAACATTACTTGAAGCTATCCTAAAAAAGTCAGAAAATGTTTTAGTTTTTTTAAAGACTACATTTACATAGTCAAAAGGTCCTTTTGTTCAGCCTCACAATGCTATTGGGTAGTAAATGTGTTTATGGGTCCTGCCCTCTGGCCATACACTCACAACACTTCAGAATCTTCAAACGAGCAACATCTTTGTTTTATTGGACTGGATTTGTCAGATTCAAGTAAGTAAAATGTAAGTTTTTTTTTTTGTGATTATCACAATGTCTAGAACATGTACATATTTAGTTTTTGTGGAATACATTCATCAAATTTGATTTTAAGCAGCTTATGTCTATGTTGTAATATTACAACACTGGGTCAGTGTGGTAGTCAAAATAGCATGAGCACCTGTCATGGAGATTGCCCTTCTTATATGTTCACATATGGAAATAAAACAATATAAATATAATGTCTTTGATAATTCACTATAACTAAGTTCTAAATGTGTCCTCTGTTAAGATTTTGAATTAAGACCAGAATTGAATAAATTAATACATTATTTCTGATAGAAGTATGTGAAATGATATCTCATGATATCATGATATCTATAGCAATATTTTAAACTCTACTTGTATCTTATCAGTTAATTAGTTACAGCAATTAATTTAACTCTTCTCTGGTTCTGGCAGAAACAGTTCTTTCTGAAATGTGTTGGGACACTTGGATGTATCCCTTTTAGTATGATAATTAGCCTGTTAGCATTAGCCAGACAGTATTGTGTGACTTGTTGAACTGGTTTACCTGCATGTGTGGGTGTAGGTATTCCTTTTATTATGATAATAGGCGAAGCCAGAAATGGCTGGAGTCTGTATGTATTGGGAGACCGACACACACGGTACCCCCCTGTTTCTGATGTGATGGCACGCAAAAGATTCCAATATCTGTTGATATCATTACATTTTGTAAACAACTTGACAGTGTCAGAGATGGAAAAGAAAGAAAAACTCTGGAAACTCAGACCCTGGCTTGATACATTCAGAGAGAAATGCCTGCAGGTGGTACCAGAAGAACGCAACTCTGTGGATGAGATGATGATTGCTTTCAAGGGGAAATTCAGCAGCATCAAGCAATACATGCGAGGCAAGCCACACCCATGGGGGTTCAAAGTGTGGGTGAGAACTAGAGTCTCTGGAATGATCTGTGACTTTGATGTGTACCAAGGCAGTGTCAATGGGATACGAGCCAAGTCTGAACTTGGATTGTCGGGTGATGTTGTGATGAAGCTTGCCTCCATGCTTCCAGAAGGTCAGAACTACAAGATCTACGCAGAAAACTACTACCCGTGTCCCATTGGTAGTGAAGCTCCTTGATAAGGGGATTCATTATGTGGGAACAGCCAGGCAGTACGCTTACCCAACTGTAACCTTGAAGAGGAGAAGAGCTTGAAGAAAAAAGGGAGAGGAAGCTTTGACATCCGAGTGGAGACCAACCACAACATCTGTGCTGTCAAATGGTATGACAGCAGAGCGGTCATCCTTTGCTGGACCACACCCTGTGCAGAACATTCAACGCTGGGACGAAGCCAACAAAACCTACGTAGAAGTTGAGGCCTTCCATTGTGGCTACGTACAACAAGTACATGTAATGGGAGGTATGGATTTGTTGGACTCGTTTACGGCCAAATATAAGTTCCCCATGAAGTCCCGACGCTGGTACGTGTACATCTTCTGGCACACCATCATCCTTGCTGTGATCAACGCCTGGCTCCTCTACAAGCGGGACTGCAGAGCTCTAAAGATGGCAAAGCAGGAGATCCTGAAAAGGAGACTACTTCAGGCAGATCTAGCATCCTCTCTCATCCTGGTAAGAATGCATTTCTGCTATTTTTTTTTATATTTCACTGTAATATTTTTGACTTGTATCCTAATGTATTTTTGTTCTAATCAGGTGAACACAACTCCCATGAAAACACCAAAGAGAGGGCGACTATCTTCAGGCAACGGGAGCCCAGCAGCGACAGTGACATCAAGGAGCCCGTTGATTGCTCAGAAGAGACCATCCTCAGGTGATGGGAGTCCACCAAACAGGGCCCCATCCAAGAGATCACAACCTCCACTGGCTGTACGGAAGGACCTAGTGGCACATTTTCCAGGGAAGACCAAGAGAGGGTGCTCTAGACACTGCAGTAAAGGGTACACAAACACCCAATGCACCAAGTATGACGTCCGTCTGTGCTTTTCTGACGACAGAAACAGGTTTTTGGACTACCATATTCAATGAATGACTATTCATAAAAAATATGACTGATATGTGATTATTATTCATGCTATATACTGATATAGGGCTAAGTAAGCAATCAATCCTGCAAATCAACCCTTAGTTGTTCAATATATTTATTCAGACAATGTGAGTAGAAATACAGGAATTCTGCTCCCACCTAAGCCCAACGTTGCAATATTACAACATTTCGCTAAAAACGTACCAAAACGTGTGAACACTTTCATTTCTGCTCCAGAGGCGACCTACAACAACATCTGAAAGGTCAACAAAATCAATTCTAATGTTTTTCTATTTTTGGGCTTAAGCAGTACAAGACACGACAAGCAACATCATCTAAAGAAATATTAACATCACTTAAGGCATGAATGACGTCAAACATCAAGTACGACTCAATGGGGTTGTGTACTTTATAGTTGCAGCGCTGTATGTATACTGCTTGAATTGGTATGGTCGTATATTTTTCTCTTGATCCATCTGTCTGTAAGGTTATGTGTTATAATAACCCTTATACAGCTTTTATACTGTATAAGGGTCCATTATAAAACAACAAGGGTGACTTTAATAGGTTTGTATGATCAAATAATGATGCCAGACTCAGTGACCTGTACACTTCCTGGATATGAACAGCCAACACACCTTCATCCGACAGTCCCTACGGCTTTTATGGGCCTTTTCATTTCAGGGCCAGGGCAAAGTCTGAACCGGTGAAAAACAATTACGCAGTCTGTCAACAACTGCATGGCTTGTTCCAACAAACTGCCATGATTCAGCAAACAGCACCGCATCCACTGATTGTCGACAAAATCAAAGTCCCCAATCTGAAGCGTGTCTGCTGAGCGCCCAGAATCCCCTGCCTTCCTGCCCTTCTTGGTTTTATGCAAAACAGCACAACAGAGAGTTCATCCAGAACACATTACATTTGTATCAGACCTCGAGTGTTTGCTGAGACTGAGCCAGGAGGGCAAAAGGTAAAGTTTCAACATTATAATTATTGTTTAACATCCGAGCACACAGCAGGGGAGGAGGATAGAGCAACACAATCGCACACATTAAGATGCCTGTTGCCATGACTAGGCAGCGACGACTCGTCCCCGTTTGGCACATAACGAGCAGATTCTCAGCATCGACTGCCTCCTGTTAACTCAGAAGAATGGAGATGATAAGGTTTGAATACCCTGTAATGGCGTTCATCATTTCTCTAATTAAAGAATAAATAACCAGACACTTCTACTGTCTAAATAAAGAAAGCTACAGATGAATACAAATCTTGTTTATGGTTTTATGGCTCTGACAATAACAATTTGTTTATCCTGGCGAAATAGCAAGGCAATAAAGTGGAAAAACAGCGATAAAAAAATATATTTTGTGGGAACAGAGCAAGCAGGGAAAGTGTGTAAAACGTAGCAAGCAGCAAGATCAGAGCTAAAAAGAAAACCTCGTTAAGCTGCGGGACATTTTATGTCATTAAATCTGAAACCAAATAACTTGCAGAGCTGCAAAACAAAGCGGTCTGCACAGGTGGAACGCTCCGCCATGGTTACACAGATGGTCTCTAGACACTTCCTTCCTCTGACATACACAAGCACAGTGACAGCGCAGCACTCTGGAAAATGTTTAAAGCTGTAATAAATGAGGCGGTAGCTCACAGAACAGAGAGGCTGTCTCACACAGATTTATCAGCTGACTGAAATAGAAATGTCATTGACAGGCACGCTGTAGAAATTCTGCATTGTTGCCCTTTAGATCTACAGGAGGAGAGAAATTGGGATTGGCTGATTAATCCAGACTGAGGCACAGTAACAGATTTATCAACACTTCTTATCCCAATGCATTCAAAACAACGATAAAGAGACTCCTATACATTTGGGTCCTGATAACATTCCATTTATATGGCATGACAATTGCCGTGATCCACGTTTGTTTGTAGGCTCAAAAAGTATTTTATTATGTTCGAGGTAATGATTCAGAAAGCTACAGGTACTGAATCCTTAATGTGAAATGCAGGATATTTGTTTAGTGGGTTGTTTCTAGGCTGTTTTATCTGCTAAATTGGACATTAACCTCTGAACACAGCGAGTAAAAGAGAACAAGAGGCAAATTCCTAATGTGCTGCAACCTTAAAAAGATACACAAATATACTTAAATCGTTAAGCATAGAGTTAGCTGTAATGTTGAACACTTATTTAAAAAGGGATATCATCCTTCTCTCCACACATTCTTCTAAGTCATTCATTCATGGTATCACAAAAAGCAATAAAACCGCTGACAGTTTAGTTGGAATTCAAGGTGTGCTTAGCTAGTAGCAGGTAGACACAAATTATATTTGCCAAAACTTGCATATATATATATATATAACGTTTACCAGAGCACTACAACACACCAGGTATACATCGCACAAGACTCGGATTCAGAAAATGTAACAAAAATGCTGAAAATATCTACATACATGGACAAATTTTACAATTTTACATACATGGACATTTATCTATGTTTATTCTTTGTCTACAGGTGTCTGCATATGAATGAAGATATCTGTAAGTCAAAGGACAACGCTTGTTTTCCGAGTTGTGAGCAATCATGTTTCGACCAGGCTTTGGTTGGATGCATTCTGCGTGCTGAACAAGCTGTTTTTAAACTGTTATCGGAGTATAAAATGGCTACTTGTGAAAGTATCAGATTCTTCTTAGAAATTGTCTCTACACACACACTCCATTATTTACTAATCTGAGTGCAATCCATGACCAATGAACGGAGAAAGAAGTGATGGCTAAGATATCCTTTATTCTGGATTTCCATTTCTGGATATCAGCAGGCAACACCAGAAAACCCAAAACATTGACCATTGCCACCAGACGCTAAATCATAATAGACAGATAGCAGATGGGTTCCGATATCGATCTACTCCTGACTTAATTGACGAGTAGATGACTCATCTCTTCTTGCATATAATGTAACTTTCCACCCCACAATTACGGGGTGTTCATCGCAGGGGACTTGTGTTCAGAAATATTAAGTAAAACTTCCGGCCTTGTAATGTCTGAAAGCTTGAATTCTTAATTATTGGGCCTCTGAATGGATGACTTTGTCCCACCCTATAAGAAACATATCAACACATCCTCTATAAGGAAATGGATATCCCAAACACTTGTGATTGACTTGAAATGTGCTAGTCAAGATTTTGAGACCTGATCAAATTCGATTTTGTATTCTGACAAATCTTATCACCACAGTCCGACTATCTCAATTTGTAACACACAGCCTCACTTGCAAACTCATTGTATTAACTTTGTTGAGACTATTCATCTTGACATTTACAAAAAAAACATGTATTTATTCTGTTTCTTCTCAACAGCTCTCGAGTAAGCTGAAATCCTTTGAAAGTTGTCAGAGTGCTGATTGCCAGACGCCTCAAACATTTTAAATAAGTGCTGCTCATTGACATTCAACATGCTGTTACCTACCGATGCAGCAGTAATTGTCAGTGTGATTAGGTTACTTCAAAGATTAAGTTCTTCGCCAGCATTATATTGTTGGTGTACATTTTATTCTTCTATAGCTCTGAATAAGGAAATAAAAGCCAGTTTTCATAGACAAGCTTTCTCTCACAAAAGAAAAGGCTCTACGTCGCTCAGTTTGATGTGCACTCAAGAGAAAATAGGACTGACTGAAAAAGGTAGATAAAATAAGAAAAAATAAAGAGGTTTCCTATGCGTGGGTACTGCATCTCCGCGCTCAGAGTACAAACATTAGTTATCTTTTCAATGTATCAGAGAGCAGGCTGGAAAATCCAGATGAAAGCCACAATCTTTTTGATGTTGTAATCTATTCAATACATTGCAGTTGTATACAGAATAGCAATGATGTAAAGGGTTACAAAATAATAGATGGGGCAAAGTCTCTGTTTTGTAAGTCACAAATTACATTGAATTCTTCTAAATTCCGAAGTCCAAACATACAAGATTGTAATAAGTCAAGTCCAAGTTCTGAACCAAACCCATGACCACATGTACCCTCTATTGTATAGTATTGTCATACTGATATTTTGTACAAACTGTAAAGTCCACTGAGACAAATGTAACATTTGTGATATTGGGCTATATAAATAAACATTGATTGATTGATTGATATTGTTTTGACAGACTAACAGTGAGTATAATATTACAGAGGACATATTATGCTCTTTTTCAGGTTCATATTTGTATTTTGTTTCTGTACGGAGACATGTTTTTATGCTTTCATGTTCAAAACCAGAGCCCAGGTTAGCTGGCCTGCTCAGTTGTGATTGGTGAACCACTTATATATGTCCCGCCCCTTAACCTCATGTACAATGGGTTGGAAACAATAGATAAAAGAAGCACAGTTGTTATATAGTGATGTCATTCTGAAACCGAAGTAAACAATGGAGTCCAATGGAGGCGTTTCAGTCGGGGGGGGGGGAAACTCTGGAGGGAATTTTGGGATTTTAGCATTTGCACATCATGGACCAAAGTGCAAATGCACTGAAGGAAAGGGAGAACCACAAAAAGCATAAAAGGGCCTCTTGAAAATAGTACTGGAGAAAATAAATATTAAAACCAATGTGTTTATAATTTTCCATTAAATTATTAATAATACTTCTGTTTAAATATCTGTCAAATGTTTTGCATAGAGCCATCTGTTTTTTGTTGACAGCAGCAGATTTCTTACACCTCATTCTGATGATCTAAGGCATCATCTGCTGTCTGTCTGTCTTTCCCTAAAGAGGTGGCAATTTGATTGGCGGCTGTCAAATTCATTAAAAGCTTCTTCTTCTTTTCCCACTCTGAATAAAACAGAAGACTAGGCTACTATTGAGAAGTCTTTTTTAATGGGAGACCTGACCAAGATAGGCAGCAGCAAAGTTACAAACAAAAAAACACAAACATTTGAAAATAATTAAAAACAAAGCATGGGAACTAACATTTTAAAATAAAAAGGTCAAGTTTTATAACCAGGTAGACCTAAAAACATTGCAGTCTTAAGAAACAAGCCTTTCATTCTTTCATTACGATTTAAAAACATTTAACAAGATAAATTAATTGAGTTTTAAGTTGTTCTGCAACACATTCTGCGCCATTGTTAACCATTTCTGTATGCTATTGAGACTGAAATGATAGAAAATCCAGAGAACGCAGAAAAAGAATATTGCCTGGAGATATTCAGCCAGATAAGAATACTACATTGTATGGGAGCAGACCACAAATAGCTTTTTATCTAAAAGGTGTAAAAATGACAGAGCCCACGGGTTCCCTGAGCAGGCCATCCTAACCAAGAGTATGACTCACAGTTATGAGTCAGACCATATCTGTTGTCATAAAAATACAGAGCTTTAACAACAACATTTTAAAATGGTGGTGGGTCTTGAGGAGGATTTCAAGTTTTTCCAACTCAAAGTCAATTGAGTTCATTCAAGTTTATTTCGCATCTAACTCCAAATGAATAATACCTAAATATACCTTGATGTTTGCTAGCTTTGGCCATGACTATCAATGTTATTAAGACATTATTGAACCAAGTTCTGGGCCGTTTTTAAAAGTACAATAGCAGCAAGTTAACATTGCAGCCACTTAATCCAACATTCTGACATGGTCCCAGTCATGCAATTGCATTTACTAAGGCAATAGTGTCTCCTTTTACCCTCCAGCAGGCAGGATCAAAAGTAATGCACTTCAACACAGCATGCAAAAACACTGGTATGGGCTTAGGAGTGCTTTGCCATTATTAATTTGCATCGACTTCAGTCTGCTTAAGCATCATATTTGAAGTGTTTACTCAAACTTTACTGCATTCACGTAATGCGGGTGGTGTCGATCAAGTTCTTTCCCTTCATAACAACATTAAATTATCCTGGCCTCCCTCTGATGATGTAACCTTTGTGTAAAATTATATTGTTGGGAAACTGCACCCATCTGGCAACTTGACGGTTGCAATCAAACCAGAATTGGTTTGAGCCATGTCTAGGGGAAGTTATGAGAATATTTCTCTCATAATCTGTGAAATTGAGGGACCTCAATTCAAAGTGAACAGAGTTAGGAGATGACATTTCATATTATGTGTGGCTCTACGTATTGTTAGGTTGCAAGAAATATGGAGAAATAATAAATGATATTCATTTCCTTCCTTGCTACTGAATATAATATAGAAGGAAAGACATGGAAGACTTAATGTACAATTTTTGTACATAGCAGGATTGGAAGCGTTGGGTTGTAATGTTGAACTTGTTGCACCCTGAATATTATGTTTAATTAATGGGAGAGCAGAGACCTAGTATTATTATTTTTGAAGCTTCTTGGTACAACAATTCCAGACATCCAGTTTTTCAGGGTACAAAAAGTCGTTCTAAAAAAGGCTCACACCTCTATCCCAATGAAATAATCCATTCTATAGGGAAATAAAAATCCTTGGCCTACGATGACTAACACTGACTCACGAATGAATATGTGGGGCTTAAGCTGCTCCTGCTGCTGAGTTGAAGCTCCACAAACTTTCTGCCAATTTCACATTTAATTATAATGAAAAGACCCCATAAAAAACGTCATTGCTCACGTTTAAATGCATGCCGTTATTCGGAGGATTGAGAGGATATATCGCACTCCCCAGTATGGGCTCAGAGCATTAATTTCACATCCTTCCAAAACAGCTGGAAGCCAGAAACACTTTCAGACTCATTAACTGCAGTGGGGGGGTTGTTTAATTTAGATTTTCCTACCTGTAACTCGGTTTTCGGTGTGCAGCCGCTGTGCAATTTCCATTTAAAAACGCATCCTTCCTAAATCGCTTTTAAGTTAACCGTGTGCCCAGGATAGTTCCGTGTGGAGCTCCGGATCACCGTAGTTCTGATTAAAGCGGGGCCAGGTCTTTTGTGGTGTTGAAAAGGACCTGAAACACGAGCGTTTTCTTTTAAAACCCGCTAGGCAACAGGTGTTCATTTCACGTTCAGGTGACAATGAAGCATCGACCCACTTTGCTGCTCCCTCCCTGTGAAAGTTCAACCCCACCCCCTTCCCCTCCAGCTCCACCCCTGCCAACTCTGGCTGGTGCGGGGTTTAAAGGACTCAAACCATATTAAAAGAAAGTTTGCACTTTAAGCCCTCTAACATTCAAGCCAGTGCAGATTTAATATGAGTTTGTTTTTGCAGCAGAGAATGATAAGGCGATTTATTTTGCCCTTAATCCCTTTTTTTATTTAAACCAGTGTATTGGTGACCACAAGAGGGTGTCCTTCACCTCGTGTTGGTGGCCAATCGAAGACATTAGGAACACTTGTTGGCTGTATGACTCAGAAATATAAGAGTGTGCCCTTCATACTTTTGTGTGGTATTTCATTATGAAATACCACACAAAAGTATGAAGGGCACATATCATGTTCTCTTGCATAAAGTGATGTGTTTGGCAATGAGAGGCTGTTCTTTGCAGAGTTTCTCTCTAAAAAGAAAACCTTTTCTTGTGTGTGAATGGCTGTTTGGTCTTGGAAACACAATCTAGTTACTTTCCAATAGATTTAGAAAAGAAGAAAGTTTGCCTCGATGTGTTTGCTTTTCTTACTTTCTAATCCTTTCTTTGTATGTTTTTTAAATGAAGAAAGTTTATGTTACAAGGAAGGAAGGACTTTCAGTATCATTATTTAATTAGTTGAAATCTGTGTTTCAAATAGGCCTTTTGGTTTCTTTGTTACGTAACTGTTTCAAAATGTTATCTCCATAATCTACCATCACAATCAAATCTCAAAGGACAATCTACATAATTAACTTTCTTGCTTTTAAAATCACAGTAACAAACTTCTAAATAGATTTCTCCTTTACTTCATTTTATTTTTTAAATCAGGCAATGCATGTAAAAATACATCTTTCTTTGATATTCAAAGACAATTGAATATGCACAAACAGCAAGACTTCATACAGAAAGTAATACATTTCAGTTACAAATATAGTGTACCTCGACAAAGTAATCAATCTTTGGATAGCACTGCAAATATGATATTTCAAGGGAAATATCAGCCCGTTTGAGCTTTGCATTGAAATGGTATAGACTGCAATTGCAAATAAATACTTGTTTTTATGATATACTATCAAAACAGCAGTGCAACTGTGCAAAGAAAACAAAGCTTCTCTGTCATTCAGGTCATGGACGGTCTAGCAGGAGTAACTTTAAAAAGGCATCTGTGTTTTCTCTTATCTCAACACTTATTTATACATCAGCGACATGTTGCTGTACCGCAACAGGTCCCCTTCTCCTTAAGTGCTTGGCTCTTTCTTTATAAAGTTATATAGAAAGCCTCTAAGGTAATTCAAGCATTTGTGTGGAAGATAATACAACACAGAGCTTTAAATAAACAACACAGAATCATAAAAAACCAACTAAACATGTGTCTCCAGTGATAAATTAGTAGCTAGATACATTCAGAAAGTAAACAGCAGCCAACAGTCTAGGTTATAAAGTATGGCGAGTGTCGGGGTCAGTCGCCAAAATCCGGGATGTCGTCATACGAGTAACCCCTGTAACCCTTTGCGGCGTAGTAGGCGATTCTCAAATGGTAAAATCCAGGAAGGAAAACAAGCACCCCTATGATGATGACAGGAATGGTGCGGTCTGGGTTCTGAAAACATCAAAAAAGAGAAAATATTGAGTTGAGGGTGAGGATAAATTGACATTCTTTGGATTTAAAATCTATTTCAGGTGTGAATCAGACTCATATTGACTCACTCACACATCAATACCCTACTGCTGAAAGAAGCTTATCAGATTTTGATAATGTACTCATCAGGCTTTAACATGCTTATCTCCATGTTTGCCTGCCAGCACCATATAAACAGGCTCTGGATGAAAAGGGTGTGCAGGAGGCACAGACGTGATGACTTCATCTGTCTGAGATCTGGTGTCATGTAAATCATAAGTCATTTCACATTGAACCACCACCAGGCAAAGACAGGCAATCCTTATCATCGTCGAGTAAAGTGTTTTATTTCCCCACCAGATGGCAGTCTTGTGCACTGAGTAACTGTAACGCCAATACACTGCTGCATGGGCCATGCCTCAACTTACTTAAGCACTTTGAGCATCATTTCTCTTTCTGTCATGTACAGTATCTATTTGGCATGTATTTGAGGTGGTGTTGCCAAAAAATAACAGGAGAAGTGTTTTGTAGTTTGACAAAAATGGAAATGGAGGATTATGAATCATCTTTTGAATCTTCATATATGTTTATAGCACCACACACACGTGCAATTTAGACATTTAACGTTTTCTTTTAGGGGCAGTTGGCAGCTACATGTTGTATACAGAGTCTGGGGAACAGTGGGGGTCCAGTGCCTTGCTCAAAGGCACCTTTAAAGTGCCCATGAGATAAACTAGCTCCTCTCCAGGTAAAAGTACACACTCAGTACTTGGTACGTTCAGGGTCTTGAACCATCGACCCTCCATTTCCCAAGCTAATGCAGCGTTGACTCTCGCTGCTGTTTTTCTGAGCTTTCAACCACATTTCATAGTCTTCATGATCTGATGGAGTCTGCTTAGTTGAACTATCTAAATGAGAATCGAGCAAACTCCACATACAAACATATATAACTGTGTGGATGAAAAAGCTCCAGAAAAAATGTCAAAACAATTAAACCACATTACTTTAAATAGAACCTGCCTACATCCAATATTTCCTTCCTCCATTGCTCGAACATTGAGTAATTTCTGGTATTAGATATGCTTTTTCAACTCGCGTGGGCTAATTGGCAAGTAGACGGCTCACATACTTTGATGCCGCCTTCATGTCAGATCAAATTCTCCGCAAATACAAATATGCAGACTGGAAAAAGCATTCACATTAACCTCCTGCTGATTATCAAATATATCATTTGAACAGTTATCTCCCAAGTGGAGTCCTTATTTGAGGAAGCAGGACCACAGCGGGGGATCTTCCAAAGTTGGCACTCAAAGAGCGAACATATCAAAATCATTAGTTGTAATTCAAACACGCAGAAAACAATCGTCGCCAAATAAGCGCAGCATCAGAAAACTGGCTGCAGGGCAAAGAAATGCCATGATAACATCTCAATTAAAGCTATTTAAAAATCAGATTAACTCAACAGGAGTTTTAATTACAGCATGTGTGTGCCACTATAAAAGCTGCGTTGGCTCTCTAGATGTGTAAAAACTGGGCTCACACCTCAAGACTTTGTTTTACCGATTGAAATATTTGTATGGTGTTGCGCCAAGTGTGGGAAACTGTCAAGTACCAAAAGCTGTCTTGTAATGCTTGGCCAGATTAACTGGCTTGTTTACTTGTGTTAAAATCAGATATGTTGTGATGTAAAACAAAATGGTGAAGATTTGAAAATGTTAATTCAAGCTACTTTTGTTTTCTTAAAGCTGCTTATGTTTAGATTACTACCATCAATTCTAGAAAAACAAGTACTTTTTCATAAATGTTGCAATGTCATCGTATTGGCACTTAAACCTTACGTGGAGAATGAGCACTAGTAGTGACAAACGATACCCGTCCCCAGAATTGATACACTGGAGGTTTGTCGATTGTTTGAAATCACTTGTCATATTTTAAAGACGTGAGCCATTTAAGACAAATAAATAAATCCCTGAAATAAACCCTCTTTGAGATTTGAATAAAAGGTATGCATAATATTAAATATGGTAGTTTTCTTTATGTCATCTCTTTTTTCAACAACTATTAGTTGTCAGTCTATGCCTCCCTCTTGGCAGTAAGTGGGAGGGTAAAACATTGTTTGGTGCGCAGTGAAACATTTCTTTTGAAAGGCTAAACCCCTTAGCTTAGCTCAGCAGGAGGACTGGAAACATGGGGAAACATTTAGCCTGGCTCAGTCCAAAGCTAACCAACTGCTGACTAACGGCTGCAGCTAGTTAGATCCAAAGATAATATAATCTGCGTTGTTCCTGAACCCTCAGTGAAAACTCTCCGGTGAATGTACAAGTTAAACAGACAATAAATGACCTCAGAGAGCTTTAGATGGATTGCTTCCTTTGGCGATGGCATGTTGTCGCCTTTTTCTGGCATTTGTGCTTTTAGCCGGTGTACTGCTGTACAAAGCTTCACATTAAAGGTGGGGTAGGTCATTTTGGAGAAACCAGCTAGAGTGCTCTAGAATTTGAAAATACATAACCGGAAAAAATCTGCCACTTCCTTACATAGCCCCTCCTCCAACACACATGAACGTGCACATGACCAATGAGGGCACGAGATACGTTTGTGCACACATGGAAGGCTGACAGGCAGGTAGGCCATCCAGTTATTTTAGCCGGGCCGGCTAAAATGATTGGTCGTGCTTTTTACAGCGCTACGGTTTCCACAGATGAAATTTTTTTATGTATTTATTGTCAACGCATTTAATTGCGGGTGTTAAGAGCATTTCATGGAATATAACAAAAAGTGTTTCTGAAATAAATTACATACCCCACCTTTAAGTGTACAAACATAAAAGGTAGAAATGTTCTCATTTAATTCTTAGTAAGAAAAGCGATGAAGCATATCACCCATTCCTTTCTTGTCAAAAAGCATTCAAGTTGACCCGAAGACTTCCTTTATCAAACTGCTTTAAGAGATGTTTGGAGACACATTCTGGACATATTAAACAGAAAGGTAGAGAAAATATGTTATTTTTCTCATAAAGGAGCAATTTAAAAAGAGATAATTCTTGTGAGCGGGAATTACTCAGAGAACAGACAGGAGGCAGGCGGCTCAGACGGAAACATTTTTGTTAAAAATGGATTTTCCGGAGAACAAGCCTGACGGGTTATTTACTGTCAGTTTTAGGGAACACAAACATTGTGGGAGAATGTGACATGCTTCACAATGAGCCCTTTGGCAACAGACACATTCACTGTATTCAAATGTATATACTGGGGAAGTATTTCAACTACAGTCCAACCCTAGACCCAATATTGTGGTTTGTCAATAGATTAGTGGTTTGG